AAACATGGTCACCGTCCTCGTCATAATCTTCATCATGAAATTCAAAACCATTCACGTCGCATAGTAATAGTGGCACGATATCTCAATGGGCATTATTAGTTTGACACATGTTTCTTTATTCGCAACTTTCTTTTGGCGGCATCGTTTTGGTGGCTCCATGGCCGTCTGGTACGAGAGTCGGGGAATGCTTAGGTCCCTTAGCCTTAGATGCTACTGGTACAGCGCCTCCGTTGCCCTCAGCAGCCCACAGCCAGTTCTGCATCGTTGGCCTTTTCCGCGGCCAATTTATTGATGGGCCCTCCATGCCCATCCTGGCTGGTTTCCATGGCCAGGCTGCAAGGAGCAATGGTGAATCACCAATAATAGGGGCTTATTGATGGCTTATGAACCATCAAGAAGCATTAATAAAACCTCTTACCATCTGGCTATTTAACATAGCAATCAAAATCACCATTTATAATGGGTAAACCATCTATTTCTATGGGCCATGGCTTCCATGGCGAACTGTTAAATAACCAGAGGGTAACTACTAGATCTGAAGACCTGCCCATTCTCCAGGTCAACAGATGGAGTTTGGGGCGGCTTTCTACGATGGATAACATAGAGTACCCCAAAAATCCCATGGTTTGTCATCATTTCCGCTATGAAAATTGCAATTTAGGTGGTATTTTAATACCCCATGTTCAAACGCACGCATATGCATGGAATGCGGTTGAAACAAGTTTCGGGCCCCATTTTGTGGCAAAAAATGCAAAACGACTTTCATTTAAATATTTACTCGATCTTGTTTGCTTCATGTTATTGAGTTATTTGCATTTATTCCTATCACAAATCAGAGAGAAAAGCTTAATCTCTGACCACTATGCCGTCCTTCATCAGCCAGCCAACGCCCAAACGTGTTGGCCTCAGGGAAATCAGCTACGTGAGGGGCATTGAATGACCAAAAAAAACATCGAAACGTGCTTGAACATACATACATACCATACCATATCATACCTACCAGTACCACCACTACCAGACCACACTATACCATACATACCAGACCATACCATACTGTACCGTACCATGTCATACATACAATACATACATACTATACATACCATACATACCATACATGCCATACATGCCATACACGACATACATGACATACATTACATTCCATACCATACCTTACCATACCCTACCTTAACATACAAACAATAACATATCATAACATAACATAACATGGCACTCCATTCCATTACATTACATGTATATATATATATACACATATGCGTGTAATATGTTTCATTGATAGTTAGTTTATAAAAGTGTTACCTCTAGACAGGTTTAACCTGTAAATAATGTTGATATACTGTATCTTGATATGATGGAATCCCAAAAAGAGTTTGGAAAATGCGGTGGTAACAACCAACCAGGGGGTTACCCCTGCCGACCAGGCGGTGAACGGACTGAACCCAGCTGGTATGCACCGAATTCAAAAGAGTTCTATTTCCACAAGCAATTCTTCAAACAGTTCACCTGGACAACACTCTTCAGGAAAAACATTGGTAATGATCTATTGTCATAATTCACCAAGATGAACTCTTCTGAGTTTGAAACACGCGGATTTGGGGGGGCACTGATGCAATGAGGCCTTACAAAATGGTTAGCTCATCCATTAAGCGTTTTAGATCAGTTTCTTCACGGAATTTTGTGCTGGATCACACATCACCGAACCACAACCACAGCAGCAGCAACAACAGCAACAGCAGCATCAACTGCAACAACGACCGCCACCACGACGAGGACGACGACAGCAACAACGACAACGACAACCATGAAAACCACGACAACCATGACAACCACAACCTCCAACTCGTCTTTAGCTATGTACGTGCGGCCCTGTGAGAATACAATTGCCTTTCAGACTGCCGCAGGGAGTCATGTAGAATGAAAGTAGAAGTAGGAGCAGCAGTAGCTGTAGCAGCCCCAGCAATAGTAGGCGTAGCAGCGCAGCAGCAATATTAAAAGTAGTAGTAACTATACAGTAATGATAAGAATTGAGAATAATTGTATCTACCCTCTGGTTATTTAACATAGCCATGGAAAATGGCCCATTTATAGATGGTTTTCCTATTTAAAATGGTGATTTTCCATAGCAAACTGTTAGTTTACCAGAGGGTAATCGTAACTAAATCGTAGTCAACTCTTCAGCTCCCCATCTCTGACGATTAAAAGACACCTGGGTCGATAAAAGTTCGCCTCAGTACATGGGGACTTGACGAGAAAAATCCATGGGAATGATCTGAATGATCCCCCATGATTCCCTACCCATCAAATCATCAGATCATAGGCTCCCCAGCTTGCTTCCGGCCGGCTCGCTGCGATTCGCCAGCACGCCGCCACCGGTCCCCTGGAGACTACGGGTGTGTCTGGAAATAGTGCTATTGGATGGGGACACATCACGATTTTTTATATCACATGTAAACAGTATTTATATAACTAAATAACTTATATAACCCTGAGATGATTTAGGAAAAAAGGTCTTACAAACAAACCCATATGGCCCATATGTTTATTCTCAGAAAATGGCCATTCGGGGAAATTCCACATTCAAGCCCTGCCCTGCCCAATGAATCCCAATCCGGTCCCCTCTCCTGGATCCAGCCGATCTCTTGCTGACAGGTTTCTGGAAACCTTGGGAGCTATAACTCCAACTAAGGCCACTAGCATTTGGAACTAGCTGATTCGGGTTATAAACATTTATAAATCAGCAAACATATGCAAACATAACAAGGGGGGACCACCTTTTGTAATCATCTTCGATGCACGTGTCGTACATTTCGCCGCTTCGCCATGAAATTCCTTCGTTTTTTGGCTCGGAATGGCTGGGGTCTTCGGCAGATGTCGCTGCCGCGGCACGGCCTGAGCGGCTGAAGTCAGGGTTTCTAAAGTGGTATCTAAAGTGATACCGAAAGTGCTGGGGAAAGGAACAATGGCAAATACACTATGTGTAGCAGGCATTTTGCAAGTTTCTTCGCGCCTCCATTGCCATAAAAAATGATAAAAAAATGGTTGCGGATCAAAAATCATAAAATTCTGACCCTGCACACAGCAGATTTTGGCAATTTCCAGTAGCTCAAGCACACTTTGAAACCATGATCCCTATTTGGATGTGCGCCCCACTTATTAAGTGGCTAATAACATGTGATTAATACCGATTTTATTGGAGAGACCTTACTGGGAGGACCGTCCCACTTAGTTCTTGTCGTTTCCCTCTGGTAAACGTTTACAGTTTGCCATGGAAAATCATCATCTTTAAGTTCGGTAAATCAACGAACAAAATGTGCCATTTTCAATAGCAAACTGTTAAAGTCTGTTAAAAAATTACCAGAGGGTAATAACATGTAATAACATGTAATAACATGTAATAACATGTAATAACATGTAATAACATGTAATAACCAAAACGGTTCTTTCACGGTTCTTCATCCTGCCACGGGTTCCCGGGTTCCCGGTCGTTCTGTTGGTTCATGCAGCGGCGAAACTCTTTGCTCATGGGGCCCTTGGGATCCCAGCCTGCGATCCGAGGGTGAATCCCATCATCAAAATGGGGATTTAACATGAATTTAACTAGGGGAAATGGAAAAAATATATGGAAAACTGATGGAGATTATGAGATTTAACTACCAGATATGGGTGATATGGGGGGCCCAGTCGATAACTTGGTTTATAAGTGGTTGGTTTCGATGGTTTATGGTAGATATAACCAACTAGTTAATGGGGATTAATTATAATTTATAATGGTTTATTATAAAGCAACTTATAACCAGGGGGGCCCATCCTGTAGCAAACTTCAAAAACAGAACTTAATCAAATACCATCAGAATCCAAATACTTGTCTAAAACTCTAAAATAACTTTTCTGTATCTTTTTGGGGATTGCAACATGTACATGTAACTGGTCGGAACTATTTGCGGATTTTACACACCGATAAGTCGTTTTGGAGTGTGGGCCCATACCTGGACCTTGGGCGCTTTCGCAGTTGCTAAAACCTGAAGTCCCTATCCCTGTGGCCATGGCTCCGGTGATTTCCATTCCTCGAAAGTCCAGTACCACCGGGCACCACCCGCAGTCCGCCTAGTTTGGAGGGATTGAAGCCGCCACCTGATGCCTCCCGCGGATCCATATGCCCTGGCCTCGGCCGTGGGACAGGAGGCCATTTTTTGGGGGGGCCCTAAAATGAATAGATCCAATTGATCCAATCTTAAACCAGAGCTTTGTAGGGGATCCAGAGGGGTATTTCATGGGGGAAGGGATTTTGGAACGGGTTTAAGTCGAAGTTGATTTCAATATGTTTGGCAGAAAACCGTGGGCGCATGTGGGCGCTGCCCTTCAAACACAAAAGTTCATCCCCTGCTACAAATACCAGCTTTCACTTGATTGCAACAATCAATTCAAAATTTAAGCTCTTTGTAGTCAACCCAAAAATTACTGATATGTTGTGTACGCGGTAGATACCTATACTGTAGGTGGTAGCTTGTTGCAAAACACCCAATTGCCAGTTCTATGATGGAGTTTGAGACGCAGTAATTCTCCATCTACTCCCAACTACAAGTTTGAGTAGTTCTTACGTTATTTAAGGCACCCTGCCATCACAGCAAATTCCCAGCACATCACGGGAATGTGGCCAGCCCACGCCCTGCTACTATCCCACAAGGTGGTGCCCCACCAGTCAGAAGCTGGTTTCAAAGCTCGACTAAGTATGATTGATATATCTAATATCTACCAAAAGCTGTCTACCTACCTAGACTATGGCACTATGGTCATGGGATTTATGGGGCATCACGTGCACCAGTAGTCTTTGGCTCTTCACAACTTTTCAGCTCGCAGCCCTGGTGCATCTGGTGATCACTGTTGCGCCCTGTATTGCGCTACTGCGCTCTGTGCTGTTCTGGCTGGTTGATTTGGATTCCCACAATGGATGTTCATAATGTTCATATACGTTCCAAGATGTTGGACAGTGTAACCCCCCACAATCATCAACCAACCGGGAAATTTGAACGGTGCTCAAATGTAATCACAAGGGTCATAGCCACATCTGTGCTCATCAATGCAGCTAGGACAGCAGTCAAATCCACACTCCGCGGTGTTCCCGTTTTCGTCCTTCGGTGCGGAGACTGGTAGACATTTTAGATCTGCACAAGGAAAGGCACAAGACCAAACACGCGCAGAAATGTGGAAGGAGTATGAGTGGCAATTTTTGCCTCTGTTATATATTCAGTATGATTCTCTTTATTTGCTAGGTTTCGCACGTTTTGGTTCGGTCACCAACCTGACAAACCTTCCCATCCTTAAGAAGAATGGCTCACCTCCTCATCCTCCAGCTTTTCCGTGCAGCGGGTCAAGTGCTGGCTGCAGAAGGAGAAGAGGTCCGCTTCGGGGCAGTTTTGATCGATCACGTGCGCCTCGCGGTCAAGGGCTAAGGATTTGCCACTGCCGCTTCGAGTTGATCTTGGCAAGCCAGTGCAGAGTTGTTTACCAAACAGTGACGCTTTCCGATTTTCACGAGGTACACAATGATACACATGGAGTTTTAACTACCCGAAACGTGATACATATACCAGGATTCCAACCTGATCTATACAGTGAGTCTAAATACATCTTAATACGTGTTAAACCTGTTCGCTGCAACCCTGACGTTGCGCCGCGTCTGACTTCGGGTGGCTATGAAGATAAAGTTGATGTTATTACCCCAATCAACATATTGTTCAAAGGGGGTGGCAAATGTTGACCCCTTATGAAGATAAAGTTGATGTTATTACCCCAGTCAACATATTGTTCATAGGGGGTGGCGAATTTTGATCCCTCATGAAGATAAAGTTGATATTATTACCCCAACCAACATATTGTTCATAGGGGGTGGCGAATGTTGATCCCTCATGGAGATATAGTTGATGTTATTACCCCAATCAACATATTGTTCATAGGGGGTGGCGAATTTTGACCCCTCATGAAGATATGCTATTACCCCAGTCAACATATTGTTCAGAGGGGGTGGTGAATTTTGACCCCTCATGAAGATATGCTATTACCCCAGTCAACATACTGTTCAGAGGGGGTGGCAAATTTTGATGTGATGATGATCATGATGTGATGATGATGATGATGATGGTGATGATGATGATGGTGATGATGGTGATGATGATGATGACGACGGTTGTAAGTGTGGAGCAACGTCCGGGTTGGGGCGAACCTGTTTAGACTGTTTATACCTGGGAGCTCCGCATGTCACTGCATCTCTCACCTGCCCTGCCTGGGCATCGCCATTCATTTTGCAGACTTGGCAGTACCCCATCTTCGCAGTATGACGAGGACAATACGCAACATCGCAATCTCCCCATTGGCAGCTGCCCACTTGGAAGTGGTGGTAGCTCACCATCAGATCATTGTTGCCTTGGCGCTTTCTTAATCCCCTGCTACAAGCTTATCTGTTTGTGGGGTCAATGGTGAACCGATCAAATCCCCAAAAAAGATGTAAACCTCGGTGCACGGCTACAATCCATTGAGTTGCTGTAATATTTGCCTTTGCCATCACCATGTGTTTTGCACACTTGGTTGGGGCAACCAGCTTCACAGCACTTCAGAAGCCTGCAGGACTCAGGTCTGCAGGTCACTTTGATGGCAATCTTGCCATCCAGGCTATTGCAGGGAAGCCCGCGATGCTTCAGGTATTCCTCAACAAGTTCTTGGGCCTTGTCGCAGGATGCCACCGGCGCCCGTTGGGATCCGCTCTGTTCATCGGATCCCTTCGTCGGGTCGACGTAAAAGGGCGGCTCCAGCGGCGCCAAGAGCACCTGACGAAGGTCCTCTCAAATGGAGCCCCCTCAACAAAGCCACATTGATGAACCCTGGTTGTAATAAACATTGATAAACTATGTACGGGATTACCCCAAGTAGTGATGATCTGCCACTAAAATGGTAGGGGACCAGGGGTGAATAAAAATATGGGCTTGTCCTCTGGCAATCAAACATGGCTGCTGGAAGAATCCCCCATTTGATTCAATAGAAAATTCCCGCGTAGATGTCCATTTAGTTCAGGGATTTCCCAGCTGGCCACGTTTGATTCCAGGAACCCCGTCCTCTTCGGTGATTAAACGGCCGATGGAGGGAGATGCGAATCCTTCCTCAAAGTTCAGCACAGCTCCACCTGGCAGGGGCTGGAAAGAGAGCTCTTGGGCGGTTGATCAAATGATGATGGAGTTCCTCCGCACTGAGAAAGCCAAACCAAAAACAAAACGCCGCCAGTAAGGATGCGACTAAAGGAACTCAAACTCGAGTTTCAAAGGTTTCTTTGGAAAGAGAAAAACGGTTGGTTTTGAAACTTTCACAACGGGTAGGTCTGGGTGCTCCATCGGGGGGAGGAAACAAACTAACTCTGATCAAAAAGGTTTGTTTCTGCAGGAAAAAATAGGAAAAACACGCGTTTTGGGAGAGGGGTGAAACGTTAGTTTCTGGCTGCCAAAACAATCCAAAACCCAGGTTTCGGCTGGGAAAAGATTTGTTTCTGGAAGGGAAAACACATCTTTGCAGGAAAGGTTGGAGAACCAAAACTAGAGTTTCGAGTTTGAGAAATAAAGGTGTCAAGGCGGAAGGAATGAGTTCAACGACACGACATCAACCCCGCTCGAAAAACGTGTGTTTGCGGGGAAGGAAACTAAAGTATTGAAACCATAGTTTTGGCCCATGGGAACAAACGTTTTGCAGCCAGGTTTGTACCGGCAAACAACGAAACAAGGAACCTTTGTAGCGGCAAGGTTTGTTTTCCGATGCAAAACAAAGGTTTGTTCGAATAATGTGTTTCTGGTGAAGAAATGAAGAAAAAACTTTGGAACACACGTTTCCAAACAAACGTGTCCAAAAAAACGGCCAAACAAAACAAAACAAACGAATAAATAAATAAACAAACAAACAAACTCTACAAAACAAACTCTAAAACAAACTCTACCCAAAAAAAAAAAGTGTTTTCAGATGTTTTCGGGTGTTTGAAACTAGTGAGGTTGAAGTTTGTTTCGAGTTTTGAGTTTTCAACAAACGTTACACGAAAAGGTGGTCCTTTCCGGCGGAAAACCTTTGCTCGGCTCAGGAAACATGGTTTCCTTTCTGCGGGGCCTCTATGCCACATGCGACACCCATCTTTGGGCTCCACACAACAAACCTTTTGGCGGGTTGCAAACGTTTGTTTTTGCTGCTCAGCAACAAATGTCTTGCCACGGGAAACGTTTGCTTATGTTGGAAAACAAACTGCTGCCTGCATCCCTACTGAACACCCCTTAGCCGCCTTAGCCAGAAAAAATGCGGGTGAGTCAGCCGTGCCTCCTTGGGTTGTGCAACTCTGAGCAATTTTGAAGAAAGCCTTCTGTTCGTGCTTCAACAGTTCGCAAAATGAGTCCAAGAAATATTCCTGACAGCTGGTCACTAAATCTACCACTCACGGCCATTGAGCACCGCGGAACTGTAATCAAACAAAAAACATGAAGTCTGTGGCTGGTGGTTCCGGCCACCCCGAGAATAGTCAATGGATGTCAATGGGTGGAAAATTTACCAGGTAAAATGGAAAATGGCATAAGAATTTGAAGCCACCAGGCCACCAGTAGCATGGAAAATCAAGTTGACACCACCAACCAGATCAAATCAAGTCTATTGCATGCCATGCTTCAGTGTCATCACCGCCAAATGGATTTTGATATGAGACGCTGCCCTGTTTCAAGGTCCGTTTCATCTCTGCAAGAAGCTCCAGTCGCTCGCTGTTGTCGCCCCAGTCGCTCTCGCTGTCCAGCACGTTGAAGCGACGTTGGAGGTCAAACCTGAGATGCATCCGACACCAGCCGCAGTGGTGCATGTGGAAGGAAAATAGGGAAGAATAGATCAATGGGAATTTCAGGACCCTAAAATGGAGGTACTGTACCATGTAAGGCCATATTTTGTGGGGATATTCCCTTACATAGCCCTTTATGTGTGGTAGGTACCTCCAATTTTGGTTCCTGAAGTGGCCATTGAATTGAGTGTGACTGGGCTTGCCTTTCTGGCTACTGCAAGAGAGAGAGAGAGAGAGAGACAGAGTGACCTGGATCAAACACTTTGTGAATGCCACTTGGGACTCTTTGTTTTGCGCCATGTTCATCAATTTCCTCAACATGGATTGGTCTCAATTGGGCGATGAGACAAAATATCCCAAGATCCCATGATTGATAATCATCTTCCCCACTAAAATGTCGACCTATTTTTTTTCCGTATACCTTGCTTTGAGATAAAAGATGATATAAGTACCTCATGATAAGTATCTCTTAGATGGGTCCCATTAAAATGTCGACCCAACGAGCAGCAGTGCGCCGATGCTCTTGAGATTCTTCAGATCTTCCAGTGGATCAACGCGGTCCGCAGCTGGAGCCGTTGGCTCCTCCATGAGGCGACGACGCTTCATCATGGTGTGAACAAGCAGTGACTTAAGCACTTTGGGCAGATGATGTCAATTGCCATGGGAAGTTAGTGGATTGATTTTTACAATTCAAAAAACATCATATCTTTGTCCGTGACAGTTTCCTTCTTTTTTTGGACCCGCAGAATCTTCAAAAAACGTCTGCTCACCTTGATAAACGGCAGCGGTCTGGGGTCAGGGATCCTTTGAATCGCCCCATTTGTGGTGTTTTAATGACCGTCTATCCACCTTGGGGATGTCGTGCATCTCTGCAAATCGTGCATTTGGGGCATGTTGGGGCTTTATCCACAACAGGCTCGATTTGTTCAAAATAATTGAAACAACAATGACTGACATGGCCTTTGTTCCAGGATTCAATGTTTCGTGGTTAAAAACCATAGTTAGATCTAAATTATTCATTTTACACATCTAACATTGCAGTGTATACATATCCGCTTAGGTCGCCAATGACCTACAGCTGCACTTGGTGTGGGGTTCCCGACTTAAACTTTGTCGGCACATCGGGCACCTCAGCAGTTCGACTGTGTCCATGCGGATGCCAAAATGGGGCATTCCTGAAGTGGATCTACATGGTCAGTATAATCAGTAAATGTAAATGGAGTAATGTGGTTAAAATAATAATAAACCATCCCCCAAATCACCATAAATAATTATTGTCTTTGTTTACCCGCACCAAGTGTCAACCTGGATTCAATAAACCCCTGGCTAACTTGGTGGGGCTACCCTAGGAGATTCTCACTGAACAAGGCGAGCTGCACTCACCGCCGCACGCACAGAGAAGCCCCCGGAGGGCCGGGAGCGCGCATTGATCTCCTCCTTGTGGATCCTGCTGGTAGGTTGCGAAGCATTGGTGAGATCATGTGGGAAATGTATCATTCATAAAATGTCACAAGCCATCCCAGTGATGTACGTTGTTTTACTAGAAATGGGTGAAGAAAATTTGACTGGGGATTCTATGTTGGATTGAGGATAAAGATGATGAGAATGAGGATGAGGATGAGGATGAGGATGAGGATGAGGATGATGATGATGATGATGATGATGAGGAGGATCGTGATGCTAAAAAGGCTGCTGGAAGAGGAGCAGTAATGATTGTCGTCGTCGTCGTCGTCGTCGTCGTCGTCATCCCTTGCATCAGCAGTGAGCAGCATTGTCAACAATGAAAACATGGCAGTACATGGTTGCCTTTCAAGGGTTCAGATTATCTCTGGATGTCACGGACGTGTTGCCCATTTAGATTTATTAGCCATGGAGACCCCCGACAACCACACGTTCGTACCTGGGATCTCTCCAACAACAATGATGATGGGCTAGACCATGCTAGAAGCGCATAGGATTATCAAATATTGTGATAGGGTTAGAATTTAGAACATATTTTAGCACATCTTTGACCTTCTTTGACCAACCCATAACTGCCATGCTGGGGGTTGCAGTATGAAAGCCCCATTGGCTCCTCTGGGTCCACAGGATGTGATCCCTCGCAGTGAGACCCGGCCCCCCCGGCATGGTGATGACATCCACCGGGGCGGAACTGGTGATTTGATCCGAAATCCAGCCATGAGAAATAGCCAATATGCCCCTATCCCATCCCATACTGCTTGGCAAATAGGCATCCATATGCTAAGGGAAAGGTGAAATCATGTGAAATCCCCCAAGAATATTGAACCACTTAGTAGACTTAGTCACTTAGCCCCCGTATGAAGCCATCAACAGTGGTATGTTGAATGCTTCGAGGTGAACCACTGGATCCAGCTGTTTTCAAACTTCAAACTTCGTCGACGCCGCTGGATCCGCTGTTCGGATTCCAGCCTGTAACACCACCTGAAGGAACCAGCAGTTGGAGATCAAAATGATCAAATTGACCAGTGGGATATGGTTTAATAGCTGGAAATTGCCATAGAGGAATGGTTTGATACTAGAAATGATGGAAAATTGATGAAAATTGCAGCTCCAGCGGTGCGCCAACTTTGAACCCCTACGCACTTGAAGATGATTCATTTTGAGCACGGGAGCATCGCGGAGCACACGAACCGGCATGAACCGGCAACCTCCAAAAAATACCAATCCATGGCTCCTGTAGTTCCTGCCGTATGGCCAAACAAAGCCCTCCCCTGTTTCGAAGATTAGCATCACCCAACAAGATACAAATACATACAAATATAAGAAAAGTATAGAAAAGTCATCCCCACCATTCTGGGATTAATTTTCCTCTCCGGTTCCCCCCCAAAAAAAATCTGGTCTCGACCCTTGGTCTGGGCTGTTGCCAAATGCAGCCGTGTTTCGTGCATCATCTTCGGGGCAGGTGTGGCTCGGGCACTTCTGAGCGGTGAACATTCCATAACATGGAGCCCAAACAAATGCACGGATCCAATACAGTACCAAACAGGGTTGGTTTCGTTTGGGGTTATTTCATATGTAAATATTATATATATACATTTAGTGATTTATTCATTTATTTTTGCACACATATATTTATATCTATATCTATATTTATATTTGGGGGGAAGGAATTTAGAACCCATGTCTAGCTAGGCTTTTAGTCATGGTGTGTCGCAAAAAACTGTGGATCGGAATCATGTTTGCTAACCACATAATGGGATGCACATCCAAGTAGGAACTTCATCCGATGAAATTTGGGGATGGGTCAAAACCCTGGTACCTAGTGAACCCCAAAATAGCTGGTAAATGGATGTTCATCCCACTAAAAATGTATCTATAGGTATTGATCCATACCCATTTGATGAAATTTGACGATGCCAGAAACGTTGGTCCCCTGCACACGCTGAGGTGAAAGCTGAGCCAAATACCATCAACTATTGGGGCTCGGAAGCTCTCACCCTAAGTCCTTGGACTCAAACTATCTTGAACTATCTTAAACTTATTGCCTCGCACCTTACGAGCACAAGCAGCAAAGGAATATAGAACAATATATAACAATATATAACATATATCTTCAACATTCTCCAGTACAACGAAAGCCACCGCGTTTTTGTCCCTTCCACACCTCCGGGGCATCGGACATGCGTTCATAGTTGCCAGGGCCTTATCGCCACATCGGACATCGCTTTCTGCATCGTATCTTCGGCAAGTCTTGCATAACCATGGCAGCTATGTTTGACTGGATTATCTACCATATACATGTATATATATATATACATATTATTATATATTCATATATCTGTGGGTGTGGGATGTTGTTTGCAATTATATGCAAAGATAGTTGCACATACACACATACATTTGCATATATATATATATATATATATAGTGTATATATGTTCTGTATATCTTTATGCATGTGCAAATAAACAAATATATATATATATACATATACACATACTTGCATACGCATTTATCAACGAACGCACAAAACCATGACGGCCGAGTTGGAGCTCCCTACCGAATTTGGTGACCCAAGGAATGCCGATATCCGGGCATAGCCCGTCCTCCTCATCCTGCCACGTGGCAGCGGCGACCAGTTGACATAGCTATGGAACAAAATGGTCCCTTCATGGATGATTGACCTATGAAAACTAGTGATTTTCCATAGCCATGTTCAATTGTCAAATGGTATTTATAACCCATATGTACATGTACATATATATATATGCTAATCCCATATATGACCCCTATAGAGCTGCGGTATAACTGGGGTAGAATATGGTGATTAACAATTAAATTACCCTTTCACTAAGTGGGATGCTCCCATGTACTAGGCACACCTAAAATATCAAACAATGCGCAAAACCCAGATCTGGAGAATATGATGTCAGCACCTATCACCATGTATAAGATGTATAACTGTATAACTAATAGCAATACATCGATGAATCTAGACTTTTGCATATGTTTATGTCTGAAGAGTTGGTGCCCCAGAATTCACCATTGAATCGCAACTTACCTTTTAAATGTTCATAATACTGAACTTACACCCCATCTTCGGACCCAAAAATCATATCATTGGTTCGGGCTGCCCATGTCCCCGTGATATCTCCATGGTATGTTGGTCGCTCCTCCTCGTCCCGGCGCCTCAGTGCTTGCCATGACAGGCGTTGGTGACGGCCGTGATGCCATGATGCCAATGGGAACAAAAAGTTGGATGAATTTTTCGCCATGATTCAAGAATCTGTCACTATTTTTGTTAAGATTTTTTTTTTCTTAAAGTGCTAAGATTCCAAACAGTTAGTTGAAACCTTGCCTTGTTCAAAGGCAGGGGCCGCCTTCGGTGGGAACCTGGTTGCCCTCCCCAGGGTGTTCATCCCAGTAGCTGGCGGAATTTGAACTCAATGTTCATCCCGTTTCACTTTTCAAGACATTACAAGACAATGTATTGGATCATATTGGATTTACCCTCCGGTAAACGTTTATATACATAACTATGGAAAGATCCACCATTTTATAGCTGGGTAAATCCACTACAAATTGCCATTTTCAATAGCTATGTTTGTTTACCAGAGGGTATTGATAAATCGAGATCCCACTTTGGGGTGGCTATTTCATATGGAGGGTGGGATTACTTGGGGGATACCTGACGGATCAGGTCTGAATATCACAGGAACCAGTTGGAAGTAGAATTGCTGACCCAATTTTCCGAGCGAAAATATATAGGTTTCCACCAAGCACGGCTTGTTTCAAACTTCACTCCTGTTGGTGAAAATCCAACTATCTGCTGGGGGATCTCAATTATCTCAAACGAAATGATCCCAAAATCAAACTATGTATTCACAATTTTTAACCTATCTATTCAAATTGTGAGGTTTGCAGGCCGTAGTCTCTTCCCCTGAACAATAAATACGCCCAATCGACACCTTTGTTTAGCAATGGCCTCGCCATCATTTTCGAGTCCCATTTGGGGAGTTCTGTCAATTTTTATTGGCAATTGGCTATAGTAACTCCCATATCAGGATGATCAGAGCATTTATAGAACCACATTTTCGATGGTGAAACTCCTGCAAACCTGGTTCAATAAACCCAGATTTTTGTTGGCTGTATTACACAGATTACCCTCTGGTAAACTAACATAGCTATTGAAAATGACCATTTATAGTGGATTTTCCCAGCTATAAAATGGTGATTTTCAATAGCTATGTTAAATTACCAGAGGGTAAAACCATGCTCAAAGCCATGTTTTCTCAGGACCAGGCCATGGATCAGGAGGAGAATCTGAGCGCTGGGGTCAAGGAGCCCAAGGATCCGGGCCGTACTTGCAGATAGATAGATTGATATGATATGATATGTGCCAGTAGTTTTGCAAATACATAATAATATATATATAGATAGATAGATACATGTATAATATATACATATATAATATGATAATATGTGCATGTGTATGTGCTCCTTGGGGTTTGAACAGGCTTGAAAAAAAATGAATGCATTGACTCATTGACATTTAAGCGCCCATAAATTGCAAGTGCCAGGCCCGCCAAGCAGGACCGGGCACGAAAAGCACAGAAGTGGTCTCTAACTTTCTTTACTGGAAAATCGCTTGGAGAATCCATGTCTGAAAACCTTTGCCACATCTTGTAGATCATCCAGGTAAGCAAATTTCATCTCTGGTGACGGGGAGCAGCATACTTCAAAGCTTCCATGGCCATCCCATCCATGGCCACAGGTTCAGGCAGCCAGACTTTGCAGGCCGCGTTCGAGTACATCTTCCAAGACCTGGACATGGTCATTGAGTGGTGGTTTGGGTTGCCACTGAAGCAGCAGTTGATACCCTCTGGTAAACTAACATAGCTATTGAAAATGGCCATTTATAGTGAGTTTTCCCATTAAAAAAGGTGATTTTCAATAGCTATGTTAAATTACCAGAGGGTAACATGATCATCGAAAAATAGAATGATAGCACTATGACTTGAAGTTTAAGTGTGGATAATGAGGACGAAGGTGGCAAAAAAAAAATGTGATGACCACGAGAACCATGATGTCTCCCCCCTCTCTCTCTGACTTTCCTTCTGCATCAAAGGCAAAAACATCCCCGAACCACGAAGCGAATTAAGGTTGAGTGGCTGCATGCCAACAAAACTTCCAGATCTATCAGAAATTCAGTTTCAAAACCAAGCGTGTAGTTGCCAAACAACCCTCTCTCACCGACCAAGGACTTGCCAATAGATCAATCAACAAATCGACATATATATAATATGCATTATGTAATATATGGTATGAGTATGTAGAATTATGTACGTATATATGAATGCATGTGTATGTAAATATATATATACACATAAATGAATATAATTGAAAATATATTAATATTTGTGTGTGTGTGTATTCAGCATCCAGGGTGGTACCAAGAGAAGAACACACATCAATCTGCTATCACTGGAAGATAGCAAAACAAGCCTGGGAAAAATATCCCCCTCCGGCCATCAAACGTAGCATTGGAAAATCCGACATTCCGGTCAATGACGTTACGTTATTCCTCAAGCAGGGATTTTCCGTCGAGCCAGCTTGCAGAACGCTCCCACAAATTACAAACAGTTGAATCCAAATTATTTTTTATCCCCAGCTACTGTTGATTATTAAAGTCAATTGTTACAAGTACATCCCAATTCTTGATGGTCAACTCCCCATTGTTCATGTGTAAGTCACCGATTGTTGGTTTTATTCGCTAAAAAGGTTCATCCCCAGTCTTCGCACGTCAATTAGCTCGTAAATCCACATGTATCTGTCATGCTTAAACTGGCTGAAACCTAGATTTTTCATCATTTTTCACGTTTATCTATGATGTGGATGGGAAACTCAATCTGTAGCTCCCCATTTTGCTCCCTGTTTCATAGGGAAAATGGATACAACCATAGCTCCCTTCACCGCTCCGTTCACCAGTGAAGTCCCACCTCCGCATCCATCGAGGCAATGGAAACTGGCGCCTCACTGCGGTGAGGGTCGCTGTTCAAAACGTGGGGCCGGTAATGGCAATTCCAGCCCATCAAAAAAAAATAGAAATGTTTAATCTTGGTGGATTAATAGTGTTTTGAATTACGGTGGATGGATTAATAGAAATATCAATTAAAAATATATGTTTTGTTTTTTTACCAGAAAAAAATAGTGTTTGATCTTTACTTTTGGATCTTTTCGCGTTTATGACGGGGTGAAATCACATATAAAGGGACATAATCCTGGAATTGGTTTGACAGCAAGCAGGGTGGCTAACGGTAGCACTATGCATACCATTGGTAATTTGAGGCCTTTCCAAGTGGATAGCAGTCAGCATCCAACATTACATGTCTGTAATATGCTATATCTGAAATTCTCTCAATGAGCCTATGCCATGTAGGTAATGAATGCATCCATATGCCATCACTTTTATATCTGTGTTGAACATCCAAGATGTATAACGCAGAAACGCGCTTCCTGGGGCGCCTGGGGCCCCTGGGGCCCCCTGGGGCCCCTGGGCCCCCTGGGGTCCCTGGGGCCCGGGCCTCCTTTTTGAACCAATCCACCAGAGTCTGGAAACTGAAGTCCACACCTTTCGGAAGGTGGGGTCAAGACTGACTTGACCGGCCGCACAGTTAGAATGCATACATATACATATGTATGTGTATATATATATATATACACATATACATGTATATAAGTTTATATAAGGTATAGAAAGTTTTTGAAGACGATTGAAGATGTTTGAAGTTTCCAGTCTTGGACCAATATCCACCGGCCGCGGAGAGTCTAGATCTACCGCAAATGACCATGGCCGCCCTGCAACCGATCCGCCTTTCGTAAAGCTGGCTTGTGCCACGCTCCTGGGTTCAGGGAAATTTCTCGGAAATCTCACAAAATCTATGGTTTGTCATCCAGTGTTCCCCTCTTAACATTACAATTTGGGGCCCTGCAGGCCCCCATTCTTGGACTCTGTCGAAAAACAATATAAACAATGAAAAACAGGTATCATAGGTATCCCTGTTGGATCTGTTCCACACTGGAAGCCAAGGCTCTGTTTCACATTCAAACCACGGCCCAAATTCTTAAGCCTCAGATGAAGGACCACAGGCGGCCAAGCGATACGATCATATGCTATCTTTTGCCATGGGTCTTGGTCAAAACCTCATGTTCATGCATCTTCCCCGTTGAAATAGTGGTTTATCATCATTTCCCTACTTAATTTGCCATTTGGCTGTGTGTTTTCACTATTTCATCACCTCTCCATCGCCTTCTCGAAGAGTTTCGCTAAGCTCCCGGACTGCTCGTGCAGCATGGAGGTCTGCGGGGCAACAAAAATGTCCGCTGGAACGGGAGAGGAAGATGTGTAGATGTCATGTGTGATGTGATTAGCTATGATATACATACAGTATATAAATATGGAGAGATATAGATTCATATGGATATATACATAGAGATAGACAGATATTATAGGTGTATATAAATATATATATACATCGAATTATATGGATGTAGATGTTAGATATAGATGTAGATGCGGATATATACATATTATATACATATTATATCTATATATATATATCATAATGTTATTTGTCTACCTCTACAATGCCTTTTGTGTTGCATCGTCTCACCGATACCTTACCCGAGGCTCACACCAGGGCAATAGTCGGCGGGGCGGTGACTGCGGCCACTGCCAAGGGAATGACGGGGATGATGCCAAACCTCTCGGGGCAAAAATCACAACGAAACCTGCTGCACCTGGCTATTTTGAATTGAAAAAACCTGGGAAAATGAATAAGTTTCGAATGTCATTTTTGGGGGTACAAGATGGTACAAGTGCAAAGTCTAAGCTGACGCATACAGTAGATGCGTTTCGGCATTTTGGCGCCCCAATCTCGGGAAGCGGAGGGTAAACTTGCCGAAATCAAGCAACGTTCCCCTAGATTCACCAAAACTCACCCAAGGGTGGCACCAGAATCTGAATCCTTTCACCAAGACCAAAACCACAGGATATAACATAAGACAATGTGTTTTAAGAAAGAAATTGAAATCTAACCATGGACGGAATCCAAGAATTGTCAGAATTGCCCTTTCTGGTCCAATCTGACTCTTCCATCACGGCGATCAGCGTCGTTCCAGTGAACTAAGGCCCCCAGCACAGCTGCAAAGAACACCCAGGCCATACAGAGAACTGCTAGAAGCAGCTGCAGCACCACCTGCGGAGAAGCCCAAATTTCAGACACATCCGCAGGTTGTTGGTTCAGTTTGGTTCACCCAGCATGGCTCAAAACCATTCAAAAGCCCTACTATTTGTTGGCTAAACATGGTTGATTTGTTGCTTAAAAACACCATTTTTTGTTGCTTAAGTTAAAACCACAATTTTTCATGGGATAACTTGCCCCCACTAGCACTCCTCGGGTCCCCTGTCCTGGGCCCTTTCCACACGCCGTGAGGGTTGCATTCGGCGCTGGCCGTTCGCCTCAGCCGCAGACGGTCTACGGGCGTGTTGCTAAGTTACATGTGTAATCTATCAGTCTATCGATCGATATATATATATATATATTCATATGCATGTGTATGTATATATATATATGTATGTATAACTATATATATATGTATGTGATATATATATATATATATCATAATATATCGTCTCATCTCTATACTGTATTCTTATCTTGCCTCATATTTCAAGATGGTCAATCTATGCGTATGTCTGATGACGGAAATATAGACCTGAGTCAAACTTGGAAGACTCAATCTGGATAGTTGAATACTGAAATTAATCAAGCAAAATCTGGCGCTGGATAACAACTGCACGTTCCTAAGATACTTACAAGCTGAAAGACAATTACAAGCTAAAATGGACGTCCAATTTTGAGTCTAACCCTCCAGCATCTCCAGCAATCTAACATGCCAATGGGCAAACCCCCCTATTTGCTGACGGCAACTCCCATCAAGCTCTCGGACCCAAGGTGTCTTGAAACAGCGTACCCCCAAATCCCATGATTAAAAAATCGCGCTTTCCCCATTCAAACAGCTATGCTATATATCTATCTATCTATCTATCTATCTATCTATCTATCTATCTATCTATCTATCTATCTATCTATCTATCACTATCTATCTATCACTATCTATCTATCTATCTATCTATCTATCTATCTATCTATCTATCTATCTATCTATCTATCTATCTATCTATCTATCTATCTATCTAATCTATCTATCTATCTATCTATCTAATACCTACCTACCTACCTACCTACCTACCTACCTACCTACCTACCTACCTATCTATCTATCTATCTATCTATCTGTGTGTGTTAGGGTCCCATCCCCAATGTTTTTCACCAACCAGGCCGTAGCGACTCCAGCGACTCCGGCCTTCTGACTTGTGTAGAAGACGTTTCTCCGACACCACTTCAGCGCCTGACAGCACCTGCGCAAACGCTGCACGGCGCACGGCTTCTTGGCGGAATCCCGAGGCGAAAATGTGGGAAATTCATCATTCATTGACTTGGAATGATGGGAAATCTACGGAAAGTCACGTTTTTCCCCATGAAACATAGGTGGTCCTGCCAAATTTCCCTTAAAGAATCCAATCCAATGAATCATACCAAACAGGGATGAGGAGCACTGTACGAGAGATCGAAGCAGCCACTCTGCCAGAGTGGCTGAGTCAAAACCACCCGTACAAAGTGGAGATATTTGAGACCACTGACAAAGTCACACCAATGAACCAAACTGAGATTATACAAATATAGAAATTATAAACGCTGTAATCAACTATTCTTGACTAACATCCTCGTGATTGAAATATCCATTCTTGGGTTGGCACAACGAACATGCAACAGATCTACCTGGGCCCCTCCTAGCACTGGGCAGGGCATCCCAACAGGATTCCAACGACCAGCACGGCAGCAGCGCACACCAGCCCCATAAGTACTTTATCCTCAGCTCCGCATGGCGCTTCAACAGGGGGGGATTCTCAAGATTTTGTGGTTCTCAAACTGAAACCCTGCAAGGCCAAATGCCCCCACTCCATGACTCAGAGGTGATTGTCAGAGACGATTTTTCGCAAAAATCGAGTTTTGTCAGCGCCATCTTTACCCGACAGCGTTTTTTCTGGTGAGTTTGGGATGATGATCTGGACATGTATCAAAAACCCTGGTGCCCTGTAGTTCACATCAAAATAGCCGGTGAATGGACGTTCATCCCCCAAAAATATGGTATAATGGATTTTGATCCATCTCCATTCTAGTCTTTTAATGCATTCTAGGCTGCAAGCGCATAGAATTTCGAGCGTTATTCTGACATCTGTTTTTTTGTTTGTCTTTTTGATCTTGACTGACCATGCCGCATTTGTAGTGTAGCGGCTGCAAGGGGGTTGCCTGTGTTCTTACATGCGAAAGTTTGTGACCACTTTGAATGTTTGCTCCACAATCACAATTTTCAGAGCAACAGGATGATACTTTGCAAATGTCCACGAAACTACGCAAAATGGTCAGATTTGATTTAAATGGTTCGTTTCGCATGGTTTCAAGAGTTAGTTTCTTTTGCATGGTCCATCACTTTCGTCACGTTTCATGGGAACGCCATGGAGGTAAGTTCATGCTGTCGCCCCGTTTATCGTCCAGCGAAACGCAACGTTTTTGTTCATGTCTTGCTACCGTTCATGTGACCTTGCACATGAAGTTGATGGGGTGGGGTGGGGTGGGGTGGGGTGGGGTGGGGCATGTTAACGTTCGTTGGACCTTGTACATGATGTTCCTGCTACGCGATGATCCTTCTTTGGAACTTGTACATGTCGTTGGCATGGGGTGGGGTGGGGTGGGGTGGGGTGGGGTGGGGTGGGGCATGTTAACGTTCGTTGGACCTTGTACATGATGTTCCTGCTACGCGATGATCCTTCGTTGGAACTTATACATGATGTTGCTGCTACGCGTCCTGCTATAAGGGCTTATGCAAGCAGCATGGCTTTCTTCTTCGTCAAGTCAATCACTCACGAAGTGAGTTCTGCAAAAAATACAGAGTCGGCCAAAGAGGTGTGGTGTCCTGTCACACTGGTGGCATCGACAATTGGTGGAAGATGATGAAAGCAGCTGTGCCCAATTCGTTGATGACAACCAAAGGAAATATTTAATAAAATCAACAAAAAGATTTGGAAGTACATAAGAAGCTTTCAATGGCGCTGGGAGAATCAGATTGATCTTCTCAGCGCCACGGCCAAAGCGCTACAAGACTTGTAAATACCCAAACCAAAGAGAAAAAAGCAAAAAAAGGCCAAGCTGAATGACATGAAACCAAACCATGCTTTTTTCATGCAGAAATGCTGTTTTCGCTTAGGCGAAAATGATGATTTTTATCAAAATACCCGGACGGTGATCGGGACGCCGGGGTCCATCACTTTCGTCACGTTTCATGGGAACGCCATGGAGGTAAGTTCATGCATTCATGTTTCATGTGCATGCCGGTCAGAAATAATGAAAAGAACATGCGCAATGAAATCATTGTGAAGAGTACCTTCTTTAATACGTAGCATGCGCGGCGTGTGCAAGTCAACATGAACGTTATTGGCACCTCACACCACCACATCCCACCCAGCCCTTGCGACTACGGGTTTCTACACGCGTGGTCGTGGTCGTAGTATATAAGAGGATGCCTCCAAAAATTCCACCCCTGGTTTCAGCCACCAGCGGCCCTGCTGTGAGGGCCAGACTTTGGTACTTTTAATCGACAGCAGGCCATCTTTGAAGTATTCAGTGTTTGCAACCTGGGCGAATGGGCAATCCTGTCCCAGAAAACTGGATGGGCGAAATTGGCCACCTAAATCGCGGGTTTGCCACCCCATAAATATATTCAGAATATAATATATATATATATACATTTATTTATTTATTTATTTACAATATATATATAATATATATATATATATATTTGTATATGTGTGTATGTGTATGTATATATATATCGAAATATGCGATATTACTTTATTTAAAAAAAAAAAAAAAACTTAAAATATGAACCCTAAAATTTGGAAATTTGCAGTAAGCAAACTCATGGGGAAAGTGAAGATGCACCCCACATGACCTGCCACTCGGCCCCAAACGGCATCGACCACGCAAACCGAAATGAAGAGCCATCCGAGAACTCAGTGACTCGCTCCGCTGGGAGGTGATAAATGGTCCGAAAATCATGTCCACTGGGTATACCATCATACCATCTGTGTTTCAGATAAATCAAGGAACCAAGTTCCAAACTTGAGATCTGCAGCCTCAAACAGACTGAGGTTCAAGCCGACGAGGGAAATCAGAAAACAAACAAAAGAGCGATGATTGCGTGCCTTGGTGCCATCGAACAGCACCCCTGCATCCACCGGTTAATCATGATTTTCCCCATGAAAATATATGAAAATGGAAACCCCTCTATACATTAACACTTGTACGTACTAACATGTACTTATGCATGTGTGTATGTACAAACTTCGTAAGGATATATATCTATGTAATAGCATGCTTACTAATTTAGGATTATATATAGACATACACACACATATATATATATATACATATACATACATATACATATATATATATACATATACATATACATATATATATATAATTACATATATGCATGCATGCATGTATGTGTATGTGTATGTGTGTAATGTTTTCCATTTCGTATCTTCATATTCATTTGCATGTCCCTGGAATGTGAATTAAATTCGCTCAGGTCAGGACTCCAACACAGTTCCTGAGTGACGTTCGCCGCAATGGGTCGTGATTCTTCCGTGAGATCCGCCCAAGAAAATCGGCAAACATGGTGAAAAATGGTGCAAACGTGCTGAAATCATTCAAATATAAATGTTTATATCCGTAAAAGTCAGTGAAACCCTTTCCGACAAATTGGTATGAAAAGAATGGTGGGATCTGCCTGTCTGAGGGCGTTTGATCACCAGATCACTCACCTCCCCCACCGGTCCACATCTTTGAGTCAGGAGTTTCTGCTCGTGATTCCAATCATCCGTTGAAACATGGAGAAATCTCGCGGAAGTTTAAGCGTGTTCAGAGTCTGGATGGGGGATTTCACTTCCCTTGGCGAGGTCACGGTCGCGATTGAACCACCATTTCAGTCCATTTCGGGTGATGTTCCATTGATGTTTAAACGTGGTCTTACACCAACAAACATAAGTGGAAGTATCCACCAATTTTGCTGCTTGAAAATCTCCTTTGCTGCCTGATCACCCTCCCCAAAAGAGGGTCAGACCCAATCCAGTAGCAGTGGTGGTCAAAGTCACGCCTGTGTCCAAGAATGAGTGATACCCCAGAACTGCAAATTTTAATGATGATGAACCAGCGGGTGTATGAGTACTGAAGATCATGCAATTTTCCGAGTCTGAAGTTGTCATGAGAAGAGCTACACAAATATATATATATATAATTATAAATCACTCCCAAATGGAGGACAGCTGAGTGTATAGATGAAACTTTCCACCTCGGTAAATGAAATACGAGTGGATGCGAAACGTATGGGGGAAAAGAACCTCCGGCAAACAAACATGGCAACGGCAAGTCCGCAATTCATATCCACTTCTGGCTGATTTTCCTATACATTTGCCACGTTTGATTTCCGGAGGGTATCTACCTTAAAGAATGGAATGCACCAGCTGGAATTTCTGGTCTTCAACCAGTGAAAGAGTGGGCCCAAAGATTGCCAGAACCTGTCAGTTGAGGAGCAGCTGTCGTGATGGGAACTCAAGGCGAACCCAACCGCTCCACCGCATTGGCAAAAGGAAAGACTCGCAAACCCCAGAATACTTTACCATCGCCACCATGCACAAGTTTGTGAACCCACCTTCCAATTAAACATGTTTAACTGTTTAACCATCAATCCATATTAATCCCAATTTCACTCAATTTCAGATCAATCGCCAGTCTTTTTGCTAGAGTAATCCATAAGTTGCTTAAATCCAATTGGGGTTTATGAAATTGGGTATACCACTGTATTTGGGATGATTTGTAATAGCCTCCTTCTACAGTTGGTTACTGGAATGGTGATTAATATGGTAAACTGGTAAAACCCGATCATGTGGCAAATGGATGTAAATGGTTGTTATAGCCTCCATTACTGTAATTAAATTGGTTGCTCATATTTTGGAAGGGTTAACGGTTAATGGTTGTTCCCCAAGGTCAGTTGCCCTTCCCTGGGGGCGCCGGACACACAGTTGTCGCAGATTTTGCAATGCGAGGTCCTCGGGAAACGACGGACCTGGCAAGGGGACGAGGGGCGATAGCCTACATCGGCTTCCAATCAAATCTCATCTATATAATCTCATCTAATCTAACAGCCTAATCTATCTAATCCAATCTCATGTCCAGTGTCCATCGGCCTTTATTGAGCCGTCTTGGGGGGTTATTCAAAATATCAAGGATTCTATGAGAGACCTGCCCATCGACCCCGGTACGGCACCTGGCAAGTGCTGCCTCGGAAGAGGCAACATGCACAAGATATCACAAGATAGTGTGCAAATATCTTTCTTTTAAGTGGAATTCATTAAATCTGTCCCTGTGCATCTTTGCATCTTCATGGTGCGAATATTCCATGGAAACACCTTAGCCAAATCTCTGCCAGATGGTCAGTCACGTCAACTTTCCAACCACAACCAATTCCTCGCCAGCCATTCTGGACCCCTCCAGGTACGCCGGGTGCGCCGGGCAGTGCTTGAGATGGCGCAAACGTTGATCGTTCATGACTTCATCCCAGAATTGTTCCACCTGTAGCGCCAAGGGCCAAGGGCCAAGGGCCTTTTCATATAGATCCCAAAAAATGTGTCAACAAAAATCTGAGAAGATTTTTTAATGATAAAAACAACTGGGCAAAAACCAGTCAACCTCAACTCACCTGTCTCCATCAAGATGCCAGTCCTGCCTTTCCCACTGTTCGGGCCATCTCGTCGTCCTCGAGCTCACCGTCCTCCTGTCGTCATGGAAAACCGAAACATGGGATGGCTGTAAAAAGTAACAGTTGGCAAAATCTTGGCATGTATGAAATGGAACTATGTGGAACTCATGTATATTATGTAAAAAAATGTATATGACGGTTTGTCAAAATGTTCTGTTAGTGCTCATCATGCCCAGCCTCGAGGCATGGCATCTGCTCGATTTTCCCCACCCTCGGCCCAAGGGGCTGCCCAAGCGAGGATCTGTCAACGTTCAACGGGAGCAGTTCTGTCAATTTGCATGAAAAAATTGCCATGTAACGCTTGAGGCTGTTGCGAATTTGGGTTTCAAAAATTGTCCATGTTTCCATGTTTCGATCCTACTGTAAGTCACACCGATTCTTTTCATGGCTGTTCAAATGGACTCCTAAGTTTGTGGTGCCACCGTTGGAATCTTGCAAGCCCCTGGCCCACTCCGAAAGCTGAGTGAGGCACATCTCTTTAGCAAAGTTTGCCTGCGCCTGAGTTGGGCAGGCGAAACTGCTGAGAATGGATGCCAATTGGTTGATGGAAACGTTTAAGCAAAACAGGCCCAACATTTGATTCCGAGATGGCTCAAAATAGTAGGATCCATTTTTCGAGTCACATAACTCCGGTCGCCAGCAGCACAGTGAAAAGGCGCTAACGCGCTAACATGCACCCTTGAAAAAGGGGCACCCTTGAAAAGAGTAGCAATTTCCCTATCCCTACTGCAGTTCCATGATTTGCCTGTTCGAATGGTGATTCTCTAAACGAACACCATCTACCAGAAGGTAAAACCCACATATATCACTACATATCACCAAAAAAAAATGTTTTAGCCATATCATCCCAGTTTTGGTTTGGTTTATTGCATTTAGATCATTTAGTTACTAACTTCCATGGTTTTATGATGGTTATCCATGGTTTTTATGTGTTTGTTTCATCCAAAACCTCCGCCAGCCGTTGCGCCTTCTTGCGCTCTTCCACTTCCACGGGGCGACCAGGCGGCCTTGACCCGAGACGGGATGGATCCACCGAACCAGGAGTATTATGTGTATATACATACTATATATATATGTGTGTGTGTGTGTCTCTATATATACATGTATATATATATATATGTGTGTATAAATATATATACACATTAATTATAACCAGTAAATGCATATTATGTAATATTATGTATCTGATCAACAATCGGATAACATATACTTACTGGGGTCTATCCCGGGTACTGGCCATTTACCAAGTTCAGTCGTCAAAGTGGAAATGATGCCACTTCGAAGCCCACGAGCCCTTGCCTGCTGATTGACGCATACATCCGGCAAAGGTTCAACCTGATTCTGGGATGAACGGAAATCTTTGGTCTAGATTTCTTAAACATGGCGATTTTCCATATGTTGCTTTACCACAAAGGGTAGAACTAGAATCATTCACCTGACATAAGGCCCATTTTCCTATCCAGTAACGTCGCAGTGAGGTTGTTGTAATTTACCCAAGAAGGATCTGTTTGAGGGGAAAGTACAGGAAACCACTGTTTTTGGCTCCAATGAATTACGGAGGTCTCCTGTCTCCTGTAGATTTTCCCATCATCCAATTCCCGTAAGAATGATTTTTCGTTACCAACATTGGAACATGTTACGGATTTCTGGCGCAACTTTAAGGCGTAACGTCCATCAACATTTCATCGGAATTCCCTACTTGCGCATCAGGGGAATCATAGGTGGTTTCTGAGCTGTCATAGATATAAGCCATTGATCTAACTGGGGATACCTTAGTAATTATGCCGAAATGAATGCCAGCAAACACAAAGAAACAAATCTAGGAACCAAAAAATCAAGTCACAAAACAAAATCATCAAATCAACTATATTTTTACATAAAGTTTTGACATGTTTTGACATCAATTTACCCAGATTTACAACACCTCCGCACCGTTGCACCGTTGCACCGCCACGCACCACCCAGATTTACGGCATCCCAGTGGCGCTGTTTCACGACCGTCTCGGGCCAGCGTCAGGGCGGGCAAGAGCGAACGTCGCAGCTGGACCCCCGGCTCTGCAGCCATGGCCTGGAGATGGGGATCACATAGATTTTTTTCAGAAGCCATGGATGGATAGAAATATATTATATCTATATGTATGTATATATTGTATAATTAATTATTATATATACATATATGTGTGTGTGTATATGTATATATATATATAGAAAATGATGGCTAGGGTTTGTGGATCAAAACCCGACAATACCCCTGTTTTCACGTCAATAGCTGTTGTTTTCGGGTGCGCATCCCAGATAGGTCCGTAGGGCCACGCTCGCCAGCAAAAATTCTTCCCCATGTCCATTTGAGGACCATTCACCAGATATCTCTCTAGTGTCATATCGATTTACCCCATAGTTGGACCATGATTTCACCAAGTTATATCTCCCCATCTTTGGGTCCAAATGGTCCAAAATGGTAAGTCGTCCGCGACGCCTGAAGAAATCCGCAGATCGCTCCAAGCAGCAGCAGCCCGGATGCCACCGCGACCAGCACCTGCCAGAACTCCGAGAGCCTCGGAAGTTCTGCAACGCAGAAGACCTGGCGCACCGGGTGCACCGAGAGGCAGCACACCATGGAGGAAATGGACGAAATGGACATATGAAAGGATTCGTTGTTTAGATATGTAGAATTATGTAGATATGTTTAGACTATTGTAGACTGTTTAGATGTGTGGAATCTCGGTTCCTTTCAGTCTGAATGTTTGAAGATTTTGATCTGGATAACTCTCCACGGTTTTCTGGACACCTCTCTCGGTGATTCTTGGAGACACTACTTGGGGGTCCGCAGCATAAGGCGCTGGAAAGAGCGAATGTCTCTCTCGTCCGCGCCATGTACTGTATGCCACCCAGCAGTAACACAACCAACTCTTCAAGCGTGCAGGAGGCGTACTCCAACCTCGGAGGACAAATCATGACAAAAATATGTTCAATGGATTGGTTTGTCAGCAAAAACCTTCATCGGAAACCCGGGTTTTTACACCCAAATTGATTGAGCTTTCCGGCTTCAATGTTCCCAGAAACCAATTCAGAGAATCATGAATGAAAAACTACACTCATGTCCATTTCCGTGCTTTGGGTGAAGAACATGTCGACATGGTCACTTTTAAAATGGCAGTGATGGCCATGTGGATAAGCGTATGACAAAGCCAGGTCATCATATTGAGGCTATCCACACAATTTTGCTACCCAGCAGTAATCAGCTCCTACCAGCTATCAAAGCGGGTTGATCCTACCCCCAGTTTAAAAAAAGAAAAGGAAAATATGAAGATGTAGTTTACCATAATTCTAGCAGGATTTACTTTTCTATCTGGTTAAGGGTTGCTGTAAAGTAACATGACTAATTGGTTTCATGCTACTAGAGGCATCGGCAAATCGGGCTCCCCGGCAATGGTCAGAATCATCGGAAAGGTCGTCAAGCTGGGGAACAGCTTCCCGGGCCTTGGTCGTTGTGTAAACCTCTGCCTCTGGTCATTGAACAGCTACGAAAAATGGCCCATTTATAGGGGATCTGTTGATGCAAACTTGCGATGTTCCATGGCTGTGGCACAAATTACCAGAGGGATCCAGAGGGTAACAAAGAAGAGCCAGCTGGGAATCAATGTCGTGGGAACATAAATACGCGGAAGGACCAATCAGAGAATGAGTACGATCCATTTCGGTGACTGCAAACAGTTTCTGCATCCCCTCACCCTTGCCCTGGAACTAGCACATATTGCAGCAGATGGAGGAGGAAAAAAAAACACAACAGTGGCGGTAAGTGTTGTGGTGTCAGATCATATTGGGGAACTTCTGTTGGGATACACGGCCAATGGCATAGTCTGCATGAATTTCATTCGATATGTTCGATGCATTTTTGAAGCTCACAGGTTGCAACCCCTCTCATAATACAAGATGGATGTCGATGATATGATAGCTACATTTAACACCATGTAAGTGGCAAGTGGGATGTGTTGGGCATTCTTGTTGTACCACTCACCAGGTCGCGAGTCGCACTCCACTCGGGTCACTTTTTTCAAGAGCGCAGACTTGGCCGGGGCGGCAGGGTTGGCTGATCCACGCGCTGACGACCCACTTCTCTCCTGGGGAATATTCTCCCGAAATGCGCCCCCAAGATGAATATAAGGTACATTAATTTAAGGTACCCTTTGTTTCTCCATTGGGGCCAAGTATATTGCCATTGATATGAAATGTTGTGAACAAGGTCCTGGTTAGCCATGGTTTAACCACCGAAAAGGGAGGTAGAACCCACCCAATAAGGCCTATGTAAGGGCTATGTATATAAGTTAAAAATAGGGAATATCCACGCAAAATAAGGCCTTGTATGGTACAGTACCTCCACTTTAGGGTCCTGAAATTCCATATAAGGGTTGTGAGTCAGCAAGGCTACGTGCCGATTCCGTGCCGATTGTGCACCTGCATGTCCCGCCTTTGGGGGCATCACAATATTGTTGGAAAGCTCATGAAAGCTCTCATCCACTAGCGGATGGCTAGGGAATGTAAAGTATAGTAGTATAGACAGAAGACTTTTCGAAGCGAAACAAATTTTCAAGTAGAACTCAACATGGTTGGCTGCAAACTCTCCCTCTTGCACTTGAGCTGAAAGACTGGGGGAAGTGGCTGGAGCAAATTTATCATCAAATCGACCATTGCCGACCATTGGGGACAGTGATTCACCGCAAAGGCATTCCACTGAGTGCTCAACCCTAAGGTTACCCTCTGGTAAACTAACATAGCTATTGAACATGGCCATTTATAGTGGATTTTCCCATTAAAAATGATGATGTTCCATAGTTATGTTAGTTTACCAGAGGGTACCCATATGATTACAAAAATCCCCGCAGGAAAAACATCAGACTGTCTCATCTGTCTCACATGCCTGGCCCGAACCCATTCAATACAGGGATTCTAATCCTCCATAGTCCCAATACTCATCCACACTTTGCCAATGTGTAACACCCATTAACCACCCATGCCTGGTTTCCATGCAGGTTTACATCATAGTTTTGGGCAGTTGAAATCAAAGTCGACCGTAAAATCCCCTCCTTTGTTGGTTGATCTCTTCACACTTCCTTCGGAAATACATGGCCGGTCGGCTCGAAGCCAAGATTTTAGCTGGGTCAGCTCACATGTCCGCATCAGAACGGCCAAAATTCAGTCATTCTTAAACTACTCTTCACCATTCAGCTTACCTATATTAGCCTATATTATCCTCTTTTTGATGGTGAACTAAAGCCCAATGATTGATGATGAAACCTCACAAGTAACCACGCCTGCCAACACAGGGCACGCCACGTGTGCTCCAGGCACCTCCAACGAGCCGTCCTGGACTGAACGAAATCTCACTGCTACACATGTGGCCTTTGCATCAAAACAGGTGGAAAAAACATACCCTCTGGTAATTTAACAGTTTGCTATTGAAAATCCCATTAAAAATGGTGATTCTCAATAGCAAACTGTTAAATTACCAGAGGGTAGTCCTGCAAAAATAACAAATGTTATCCAAATGTGTGGCTGCGCGGTCATAAATTTTGATAGGGCATAGCTCTGGTCAACCAACCTAGAAGTGGAACGGCACCGTTTTATGGTATGGTTTCCTGGTTGGTGATGGACTGTGGTGTGAATCGAGCCCCAAAGCAGCATCAGTTGCAGTAGCCCACTGATTCACAGGACACCGGGTCAAGCCAACTCATCACAACGTGCCCGAAATCGTGCGACATGGGGTTCTCACGGATTATCTGCCACTTCAGTCAATAGGGTACAGTACGCCAAATTGGTAAGCGCAAAAATCCTCAAAAATCAACCCCCAATCACTTACCATAAATATCCATAAATGGTTGGTCAAATCCCCCCCCAATTCCTATATGGCCCTAGACTCCCTAGACATTGTCGGCCCAGGCGCCATCTTCCAGTCAGAACGCCAGGCCAGGAGCTTGCTTTGCAGCTGCCGCCGGCCTGGGAGAAGAACTCCGAACTCCACCAGTTGGATGGGAAACTCCACCACTTATCCCATCTTACCCTCTGGTAATTTAACGTAGCTATTGAAAATTGCCATTGAAATAGTGGATTTTCTTATTAAAAATGGTGATTTTCCATAGTTATGTAAAATTACCAGAGGGTATCCCACTGGGATTCAATCCAGGTTTTTCGCTACCCGCCCAGCTGAACTGCCAAGTGCCATACTGAGATACTGAGATACAAGGGGGTCCATATATTTCATTGGATATACTGGGAGACAGTTGGACATACTGTTTTTTGTGATATGACAGTGTTTTTTGTTGGATATACCAACCAAAATATAGCTATATAGCTATTTATATATATATATATAACCTCCATGAAATTGACATAGACGTGGAAAACCAATGGTTCCCCAAGGAAACATGTATAAGTTGAGCATTTCCCATACCTATCTTTTAAATGTATTGGAGGGTAACAAATATATAAATATATTTGTGTATCTTGAGAAATACTGCAATATAGTGGGATAAATGACAGGTCGGATATAACATGATATTACCAAAAATGCTTTTTGGACCTTGACAACCGATATTGCATGGCCCGGAAGAAAGCAAGAATGGTCGAGGGTCGGGCTTTGTTGCGGACAAGTGGCTGCAGCAAAGATCTTCGCACAGTGCTTGCGATAGCGACCTTCACAAGGGATATGACGGGCCCATTTGGTGGCTGGAGTAGCCGCTAGAGCCATGATGTTTCGGTGAGGCATGGATCAAGCTGTTGTGCGTGCTCTAACTTTGGATATGTTGTATGGTTTCATCTACTAAGGCCATTGAGCTCATTTCGGTTTAACTTTTTGCATATAGCAAAAAACTATTAGCTATAGGCTATATTCTTGTAGATTCTTTTTATTTATATTAAGATCCTCTTGAGAAAAAAAGTGAAACTCCAGAAACCATCACCCCTCAAGGCATTTCAAAAAACACACATGGGCACCATTCTTCCCACCAAAATTCGACTTAAATGATGACCCAAACACTGGAAGAAGAACACTAAGTTGGCCCTACTCAAGGGCTTGGGTTGGAAACATATAGGGCCTGAACGAAAACCTCCCAGAAAAACAACATTTGTCATTTGGGGTTACCACTACAGGTTTGTGCGAGGTCAAACATGCTATAGGTAAGAATCGGGATGCTTTTTGCAGGCAAACAAAGCAGCGTTTTTTTTTGTGAGCCTGGATTTGTTAGTATTTTCGACCTGATGCGGTTCAATATCACACAGCAGTGTTCAGTCCAGCTCGTCTGTTTTCTGGGGGGTCAGGCTCAAATCAGGCTTGCATCTTCCAACATCTATTTTAATCCCCCTATGTGTTTCTTCCTGTTTGAAACCCAAGATCTATGTGAGTTGTTGGTGGTGTTTGTGGTTTTGTAATTCGCAGCGCTGCCTCCATGATCTATGTTAGTGGTATCTTAGTGGCTTCCCACAGATTTTGCCTCTTGGCAAGTCCACATGAAAACCTATGTTTGTGGTATGGCATGGATTTTTGCACTTAATTCTCAACATCTATTTTAGTACCCTGAACGAGTTTTCCCTGTGTGGTGAATCAGTCTGGGCTTTGTTAGGTCTATGTTAGTGGTCAATCATTGCAGGAGCTATGTCAGTGATCCTTTGCATGTTCGTGGTTATACAGTTTGCGTTTGATTTGGTATGATATTGAAGGTCTATCTTATTGACTAAAACGGGTTTTGCGTTTTGCAGCTCAATCCACAGGGTCTCTGCTTGTGGTGTTCATTATGTTTTGTTTTTCTGAACTCCAAATTGGAGTTTATGTAAGTGGTTTTCTATGGGCGCTGTCAGCTACACCATTTGGTGCTTTGATCTTTCTGAACATGTTTTGGTGTAAAATTGTTTTTATGACCCGAAAAAAACTGTTGCTTTGAGTTTGAGTATTTAAAATGTTAAATTCCATGCATGTTGTTTTTTTTAAAGGATTTTTCATGTGTTTTCCATGTTGCGCCCAACTTCCTATTTTGCCAAAACCGCACATATTGGGATCACATCCCCGACATCTGGATGTTTCAGTAGCCTCGAAGAAAGCAAACATTTGTGCAGTTTGTGTACCCTGGCACCCCTCAGCTCAAATCCGCAACCTGCAGGGTTCCTGAAATTTTGACCAAAAACCAGAAACATCACCTTTTGGCGTGCCAAGCTCTGTTAAACCACCAAAAAAAATTAAAAAAACATGCAACCCCACACACTGGGAAAAGTCAGGGCCGCTCTTCTGTGCAGATTCGAAACACGAAGAAAATATAAGAGAATATAGTAAACCCATTTCTTGAAATTCGGACTTTACATAGGCCTTACACATGGTAAGAAGTTCCAATTCTAGGTATGTGACGTGTCCATTGATACAGTGGTATGCCCATGTTTCATGGTTCTTTCATGAGGATCATCTGATTGCTGCCCGATCTGGCCCCATTTTGGGAAAACGAACCAACCCACAAATTCTGGTCATGTGCAGCGACAACTTGTGCCCTTGCTCGTGGCCTCGTATGGATTGTAGCACTGAATCTATCCGAAAGATGACCCATTCAAGGCAAGGCCCCCCAGCCGAGTTGACTTAGAACTTGGGGGTTTATGGGGGATGTAAGACTATAATTGGTGGGTTTATAAACCGATCATAAGGGCCTCACCTTGTTCAAATGTCCATTTAGTTCGAGGGTCCCAGCCATGGAGCTGATGACCGGAGGGGCCTGGGGAGATATGCGCCAAGGTGGTGAAATTCCATGAGTTTGGCCTAGCATCACTGGGAATCCAACCGGCCCGATGGCATCCGGGTGGTCACTATCCCATTCTGTGGAAATTGGGATTTAACCAACAAGGATTTAAGCAAACAAAATGGCGATTTAACCTACAGAAGTTGTGATTTTATCGTCCAGATCTTTAGTTTTAAGTTTTAACCATCACAAAGTGTGATTCAACGAACGGAAACGCTGTTAAACCGTTGAATAATAGACACCAAAAAATGAAACCCACAAATTGGCTTAGATCCAATATAGTGCACAAAGGTTTCTGCATGGGGGGTGTAAGGGGGGGGGCAAACCCTCCAGCAAATGAACTTCGCTATGGACAATCACCCGTTTAGAAGTCAAACTTCCAGATGAAAAGCAGAGGTGGGAAGAGTCAGAGAAGAGAAGAGAAGAGAAGCGAAGCGAAGAGAAGCGAAGAGAAGCGAAGAGAAGAGAAGCGAAGCGAAGCAAAGAGAAGAAGAAAGAAGATCAGAAAAGAGAAAGAGTCAGAAGACAGAAGGTACAGTAGAAAAGTTGCGAAACACTGCGTTGTTCGAATGATTTCTGGCTCCGGAGGGTCGAAGAGTAGGCTTGCTAAAGCGGCGGGTGCAGAGCCATGTGGTCAGATGAGAGATGAAAAGTTGCACGCCGTTGTGGCGCGAAGCACATTTCCAAGTCAAACTGTACAAAACACACCAACGGACCACTTTTGGAAGTTGTGATGTCGAAAAAGTGCATGCCGTTGCGGCGCGAAGCACATTTCAAAGTCAAAAGTGTTAAAAACTGACGGTCTCGGAGCACTTTTGGAAGTTGAGACGTCGACAAAGTGTACGCCGCTGTGGCGCGAAGCACAATTCCAAGTCAAAATGTACAAAACACACCAGGTCCGACCACATTTGGATGTTGAGATATCGAAAAAGTGTGCGCTGTTGTGGCGCGAAGCACATTTCCAAGTCAAAATGTTTAAAAACACCACATGCTCCGACCACTTTTGAAGGTTCAGATGTGGTTTGCCTGGCAGGTGCAAGGGATTCTGCATGTTGTCAATAGTGAGTCAAACGTGTGGGTTTTGTAGCATTTTCAAAAAGGTTGGCAGGCATGGGACACTTCAGGTTTGCTAAGATGATTTTGCGTGACGTGCAGCACTTCGTATGACTTGGCCGCACTTTTTGGTAGCAGGCGCAGCACTTTAGACAGATGGATTGGAAAAATCACAAAACGCATTGGTACGCCGTCAGCTCTGCATTCAACTTTCCATTGTTGAAGGAGGTCTCGCAGAATTGCTTCGTTTTCGATGTTGTCAACTTCGAAAATTGAGGAAGTCTCGCAGAATTGCTTCGTTTTTGACGTTGTCAAGTTCGAAAATTGAGGACGTCTCGCAGAATTGCTGCGCTTCTGATGTTGCCAAGTTCAAAAATTGAGGAAGTCTAGCAGAACTACAAATACAACTACAGTACATTGCACTACACTAGTTACATTACACTACACTACACTAACTACATTACACTACGCTAGGCTATACTACACTAACTACAACTACAGCTACGACTACAACTACAGCTTCAACTACACTACTTTAAACTACACTACGCTACACGACACGACACTAGACTACACGACAGCACACAACACTACGGCACACTACACTACACTACATTGCATTACACTACGCTCATTACACCACACCACAGCTACAATTGCAACTACGCTACACTAGGCTACACTATAACTACAACTCCATTACGCTACAACTACAACTACAGCTGCACTGCACCACACTACATCCAGCAGTTGTGGGTGAGGTGACCACTGCCACCATTGCAACCACTCCAAGAAACACAACTCCAACCACCTTTCGGTCCATCAGTGTTCTCGCTCTGCCATCCATGCATCACAGCAACTCACCTCTCCTATAGTGTCCTTTTTTTACACCTTCCGCCACCGCCTTGTGCGGTACTACTGGTAGACTATCATCATCCCATAGTTTCCGTTGAAAGATATTAACTGATGTTAAAAATTGATGGGGGGCTAATTTCAATTGCCATCTCAAATCACCAACGGATAGCCTTGAAGCATGTTTGGCTCATGGGGATTTCATACACTCAGCCTTGGTGTCGTGGGCAAGGCCCGCCCAATTCATCATGTTCAATGGTGGTCCCTGAAATTTAAGTTAGTAAGGCAGCATGGCCTTAATCGTACTAGATAACCCTTATTATTGGATCGCCCTTTTTTGGGGCCAAGGCTTCTTAGAGGATAAATGGCCGACCAGCGAAATGGAATGTTCAAGGGGGCCCCACTTTGCTACCAGCATGGGACATTGTAATTACCTAACCCAGGGTAAAATATCGTGGCCCCCCTAAAATGCCCTACAACACTTATTCATCTTGCTGACCCCAAAAAAAGATAGGGAATGTAATTCACCACTTTTTTGATATGATTCTACTATGTACACACACACATATATATATATAAAGCTAACTTCAATCTTGCTGGTTCTGTCACTGTAAACTCATCAAACGTTTCCCAAGATACCTGTAAGGCGGTGCCACCCAGCTAGAGGTTGGTTTATAGCCCCCTGGGACTATAGATATATCCTACATACCATCTTTTTCCCGAGAGCGTCTGAGCGCAGGGTTCTTCCAATAGTGGGGGTCTGTAAAACATCTTCACATCTTCTCATCTTCACATCTTCTCATTTTCACATCTTCTCATCCTCACATCTTCTCATCTTCACATCTTCACATCTTCTCATCTTCACATCTTCTCATCCTCACATCCTCACATCTTCACACCCTCACATCTTCTCATCTTCACATCTGCTCATCTTTACATCTGCTCATCTTCACATCTTCTCATCTTCACATCTGCTCATCTTCACATCCTCACATCTTCACATCCTCACATCTTCACATCTTCTCATCTTCACATCTGCTCATCTTCACATCTGCTCATCTTCACATCTGCTCATCTTCACATCCTCACATCTTCACATCCTCACATCTTCACATCTTCTCATCTTCACATCTTCACATTCTCTCTTGCCCTCTTGCTCTCTTGCCCTCTTGCTCTCTTGCCCTCTTGCTCTCTCCTTCTTTTCTATTTCTCTCTTGAGGCGCGGGGCAGTGCCAACAAGATGGCACGAAACGCAACCCTTTCGCACGAAATGAGGTTCGATCGCCAAAAACTGTGGTAAAATTACGATTTGTAGGTGTCCGGCGCAACCCTTTCGCACGAAATGAAGTTCGATCGCCAAAAACTGTGGTAAAATTGCGATTTGTAGGTGTCCGGCGCAACCCTTTCGCACGAAACGAGGTTCGATCGCCAAAAACTGGAGTAAAATTGCGATTTGTAGGTGTCCGGCGCAACCCTTTCGCACGAAATGAGGTTTGATCGCCAAAAACTGGTGTAAAATTACGATTTGTAAGTGTCCGGCACAACCCTTTCGCACGAAATGAAGTTCGATCGCCAAAAACTGAGGTAAAATTGCGATTTGTAGGTGTCCGGCGCAACCCTTTAGAGGAAATGAGGTTCGATCGCCAAAAACTGTGGTAAAATTGCGGTTTCACGGGTCCGGCCTCTGTGTGTGAAAGTGTTTGTGTGTAAAAGCGTTTCTGTGTAAAAGCGTCTGTGTGTAAAAGCTTCTGTGTGTAAAAGTCTCTGTGTGTAAAAGTGTCTGTGTGTAAAAGTGTTTCTGTGTAAAAGTGTTTGTGTGTAAAAGTGTCTGTGTGTAAAAAGTCTCTGTGTGCAAAAGCTTCTGTGTGTAAAAGCTTCTGTGTGCAAAAGCGTCTGTGTGTAAAAGGTTCTGTGTGAAAAACGAAGGATACGATGCAAACTAGGGGTGTGAAATAGTTTTAGGATTTTTTTTTGGAGCAGGTTTGGGAATTTTTTTTGGATTTCTTGGCTGGTACCATTTGCCTAGTGTTTGCAACGGTTTGGAACTTGAATTTGTCATTTTGCATGGTATTTGCCACATTTGGGCATGTTCACCTTCCATTTTGCATGGGATTTACTACATGTGGGCATGTTCACCTTCCATTTTGTATGGGTTTTGCCACATTTTGGCATGTTCACCTTCCATTTTGCATGGGATTTCCTACACGTGGGCATGTTCACCTTCCATTTTGTATGGTATCTGCCACATTTTGGCATGTTCACCTTCCATTTTGCATGGGATGTTCTACATGTGAGCATGTTCACCCAAATATTTACAGATGCGGAAGCTTGGGATTAGATAAAAAGCGGGTGGGGGGGATTGAGGGAGGGCGCTAGCTATCTATCCAGCTAGCTAGCTATCTAGCTATCTAGCTAGCTATCTATCTAGCAAGCTAGCTATCTATCTAGCAAGCTATCTATCTATCTAGCTATCTATCTACCTATCTAGCTAGCTATCTTGCTAGCTATCTATCTACCTATCTAGCTATCTAGCTAACTATCTATCTAGCTATCTAGCTATCTAGCTTTCTATCTATCTAGCTATCTATCTATCTAGCTATCTATCTATCTAGCTCTATCTATCTAGCTCTAGCTAACTATCTATCTAGCTATCTATCTAGCTATCTAGCTATCTAGCTATCTATCTAGCTATCTATCTATCTAGCCATCCAGCTGTCTATCCAGCTATCTAGCTATCGAGCTATCTATCTAGCTATCGACTATCTATCTAGCTATCTATCTATAGCTATCTATCTATCTATCTATCTATCTATCTATCTAGCTAGCTATCTAGCTACCTCTTTATCTATCTAGCTAGCTATCTATCTATCTAGCTATCTATCTAGCCATCTATCTATCTAGCTATCTATCTAGCCATCTATCTATCGAGGTATCTAGCTATCTATCTCTCTAGCTATCTATCTATCTAGCTGGCTATCTATCTATCTAGCTATCTATCTACCAAGCTATCTATCTATCTATCTATCTATCTATCTATCTATCTATCTATCTATCACATGTAATCCTGTCAGCTTTCCAGAGAAGGTTAGTTCGCAAAAACCAACTAATGTAACTTGGGTTTAAGTTTAAATAAAAAAAAGCGGGAGGGGGGGATTGGGGGGAGGGCGCAGCGCCTCCCCCCAAAGCAGAATGCAAGCACCTCTTCTCACATGTTACGTTGCTAGTTTTCAAGAGAAGGTTGGTCATGTGATACTCAGGGATGTAAATACTGTGCAAAATGCATCTTACATGAAAATCAAGTATTTAAAGCAGGCAAAGCAAAAAAAAGCAGAGAAGCAAAAAAGCAGAGAAGCAAAGAAACAGGAAACGCACAAAAGCAAAACAGCAGAAAGGCAAAGAAGCAGGAAAAGCAGAAAAGCAGAGAAGCAGGAAAAGCAGGAAAAGCAGAGAAGCAAAGAAACAGGAAAAACAGAAAAGCAAAAAAGCAGAAAAGCAGAGAAGCAGAGAAGCAGGAGAAGCAGAAAAGCAAAAAAGCAGAAAAGGCGAGAAGCAGGAGAAGCAGAAAAGCAAAAAAGCAGAAAAGCAGAGAAGCAGGAAAAGCAGGAAAAGCAGGAAAAGCAGGAAAAGCAGGAAAAGCAGGAAAAGCAGGAAAGGAAAAGCAGGAAAAGCAGGAAAAGCAGAGAAGCAGGAATCCAAAAATAATTCCTAAACCTGATCAAAAAAAAATAATCCTAAAATAATTAGCCCTCCGCAAACTAGTGTCTTGTACTTGTAATGTTTTGTCTTGATACTACTCTTCTCGTCTGCCTATAATACATCTTTATTATATTGTCTTGTAATATAGTGTCTCAATACTAACAACAGAAGACCCTGCTCCTCTACGCTCTCGGGCCATCCGTCGTCTAGTTGTTTAGCTATATAGCTATCATTAGACTTATGACTCAGATCAAAATAGACCCCAACTGGATAATTCCATTATAGTTTTTACATTGCAACCACACGACTATATCTTGCCGAATTATTTCACTAACTTGAAAATAGCTGTTATCATACGGCCATTTGCAGATGATTCCCCTTACACATTCCAGTGATGTCACAGTGAGGTTATGATTCATCCAGATCATATTTAAGTATATCTAGATACCCTCTGGTAAACTAACATAACTATGGAAAATCACCATTTTCAATGGGCAAATGCACTATGAATCAACATTTTCAATCATTAGCTATGTTAAATTACCAGAGGGTAAGTCCCACACCACCTTCTGGAGCTCGGGCCAAGCGGCAGCAAACAGGTTTCACCGCCACCATTTGGCGCGCGCAGGTAGAGAAGCACAGAGACATCACGGTGCCCAGGCCAGCCGCTGTCCTTGGGAGCGGCTGCATGGTGAGTTGGGCCACCAGGTGCAGCATATGGATGCAATGGGAATAACATGGTGGATATCATGGGACAACATGAATATTTCATGGGATATACCGAGGTTTAATGGGATGCAAAATGGGTGTATGCCATCATCAATACGACATCTCAATACTGTACATGATATGTGGGTTTGTCCGAAGATGGGATGCACGCCAACAGAAAATACTAATTGCGAAAATGAGGTTTAAAAATGTTTAAGTTTGTGGATTTTGAAAGACTTTTTTCCCCAAACAGTGTGTCCACACTGAGGGGCTCTTACGGTAGGTGTACAGGCCGGTGCTTGATCAGGGTGCTCACTCTGGGGCGCGGCATTTTCCTATAAATTTCCGTATGAAGTGGCTCTTGTGAAATCTTGACATGCATTTGGACTGCGCAGGCTCGCGCAAAGTGTTCGTCCGCGTTCTGGGCTCATTCTGGGGCGCGGCATTTTTCCTATAAATTTCCGTATGAAGTGGCTCTTGTGAAATCTTGACATGCGTTTCGACTGCGCAGGCTCGCACAAAGTGTTCGTCCGTGTTCTGGGCTCATTCTGGGGCGCGGCATTTTTCCTGTAAATTTCCGTATAAAGTGGCTCTTGTGAAACATCCTCAACATCATCATCATCATCATCATCATCATCATCATCATCCTCAACATCATCATTCTCAACATGATCCTAATCCTCACCTTTAACATCATCATCCTCAACATTATCATTATACACCTCATCATCCTCAACATAATCCCCCTACACCTCATCATCTTCAACATCATCATCCTCAACATCATCATTCTCAACATCATCATCTTCCTCCCCCTTGACATCATCATCCTCAACATCATCATCCTCCTCCACCTCATCTTCCGCAACATCCTCCTCCTCCACCTCATCATCGGAATATTATCATCCCTTTCATCATCCTCCTCAACATCATCATCCTCAACATCATGATCTTCCTCCTTCTCAACATCATCATCCTGCACCTTGTCCTCCTCCACTTCATCTTCTGCATCATCATCCTCATCCTTATCCTCCTCAACATCATCATCCTCATCCTCATCCTCCTCAACATCATCATCCTCCACATCATCCTCCTGCACCTCATCATCATCAACATAAACCTCCTCAACATCATCATAATCATCATCATCATCATCATCCTCATCCTCATCATCATCCTCATCATCATCATCATCCTCATCATCCTCATCAACATTATAATACATTATCCTCCCACTCCCCCGCACACTGTTTGGGGTCTCTTGCCGGGATAACTTTCTAGACAAACCCGTTTGGGCTTCAAATGGATTCGGATGCAGATACGTAGGTGTGTGGATATGTAAATGAATGAGTAGATAATATATGGACATCGTCTGTCTATCTCTCTCTCTCTCTCTCTCGCTCTCTCTCTCTCTCTCTCTCTCCATGGCTCCGATATCAACACCGCCCCCAAGGATGTGACTTGCTTTACCAAGGAACAGAGTGTTGAGCGTAGTGCCCACCCGCCACATAACGTATCACCTGCAGATTGCGTTTCAGGACCCTCCTGCCAATATGCCAAAACGATCAAAGATGGTCAGCGGCCCCTCCATGGCTATATTGTTTGTCAGTAAGCATATGTGTCGCATATGTATTTAAATGTGCATATATATATATACATATTTATTTATTTATTCATTTATTTATTTATTCATTTATTTATTTATTTATATTTATAGTTATATTTATTTATTTATCTATGTATTTATCTATTTAGTATCTATTTATTTATCTATTTATTTATCTATTTATTTATCTATTTATTTATTTATTTATCTATTTATTTATCTATTTATTTATCTATTTATTTATCTATTTATTTGCATAAATATACATATATACACATACACACACTAAAAAAAATGTATGTATAAATATACGGATATACATATGTTTTTATAGAATGAATATTTATATATATATACATATGTATGTATGTATGTATATATGCATCGTTTTCATTCCTTTTCTTTAATACCAATCCATACCCCACCAAAATCTCCCAGAAACCTATCCGACCTGCATCGGCTCCACCTCCATCCCTTGCTCCGCATCGCTACCCGCCAGCCCCTCCACCGCCCGCGCCAGGCGTTGCCGCAGCGTCGTCAACGCCGTCGAATGCAGCGGCGCCTGCCACGAGAAGCGCGAGAACTTCCAGGGCGCCGTCGCCAGGAGCCGCTGCAGCGCAGCCAAAGTGCCAAGGGCGAAGAGGTCCAAATTCCTGGGATCCACGGTGTGATGGCCGAGGAAGCGTATACATATGTGTATGTGTATGTCTCCCTCCCTCCCTCCCTCCCTCCCTCCCTCCCCTCTCTCTCTCTCTCTCTATCTATCTAATCTATCTATCTATCTATCTATCTATCTATCTCTCTCTCTCTCTCCCCTCCATCGCCTTCTCGAAGAGTTCAGCTAAGCTAAGGGCGAGTGAAAAAACAACCGCTCCACCAGGGTGGATGTGTGTGTGTGTGCGTAGGGATTCTACATTACTAAATGACCAAGAAATGGATCAGAAAGAGTATGCCATACAGTATAGAGTCTTTGGTGTGCATATATATATATAATCATATACATATCTGTGTGTGTGGGTGTGCCAACCCACTTCCCCAAACAACAGCAAGGCATCAGCCTTTCCTGCAGCCTTTCAGCATGAATCCGAACTTCAATTGGATCATCACATATCATAATCGTTCATAACATGTCATAACCATAGTTCTAGTTATAGGCCTGATTTAATATTTAACATCATCCCACCATTCTCATCCAATTACAACTCACTTGCTAGCTGCTAGCTCTCAGTTGATCATCCCACGGGCCCACGGGGGTCAAAAACATGTTCTGCACCCTGTATGGATGGTGTTGGTTGTTTCTTCAGCAGATGCCCAGCTTCGATTTCAGCCAGTGAACCGTGAGGTTTCGGCCAGGCAGCACTGCCTGTAGCCAGTGCTTGCCATCTTCCTCCCCAAACAGAGGAGCATTGAGAAAGGATCGCGCTGCGACTGCAACTTCAGATGGAGAGATGATACCTTGGAAGATTTGGAAGGGAGGCAATTTTGGCACCCCCTGAAAGCTACCGGATTCAGAAAGCTGTCCCAAAAAAATCCAGATCCAGAATGATCCAGAGGTCTGGCAGAAATACTGCAGCTTCCAGCGAGGCGCCGTCTTGGTTCAGATCCATCTTCGGCACTTCGCTGGAAAAGAAGCGCGCCTTCAACAAATGAGGATCCAAAAGCCGTCCTGCGAGGGTGTCAACACAGCCACACAAATCTATTAATCCACGAATTATATGTTGGTTGGTTGGCTTGGGAGTTTAGTTTGAATCAAGTGTATTTATTCAAGTACAGAATAATGAATCCCATATACATAGCGGCGCCTAAATTCCGTCCCTTGCAAAATGGCACATACACATGGATGACTGCTGGTAAAACCACTTCAAAAAGCTGCTGCAATCTGGCAAATCATCAGCCAGAGCTTGGTTTGTTTGCGATGAGAACGAGATCAGCAGCAATCCATTCCCAACTTCTGGCAGCTCACGTCAGGTCGCTGGGGTAGATGACCGATGGGAAAATGATGTTTCTCTTGAAGAATGCTGAGCATCATCTTCCGCCATGTGTATTTCCAGCTCCAAGAATCATTTGATCATAAGTTGGTCTATTCTTGGGCTGGTCTCCCAGCCATCAACAGCCCACGTCCTTGTTCAAACGAAGGACGAAGCAAGCCCTGCTCCGCGATGAGTTCCTCGCACTCCTCCGGACTCAGCACCGCATCAGCGACGATGTGCGCACGCGACATGCGCCAAGCGCTACCGGACACGCCCAGCGCCAAGCGCCATGGGATCATCTTACGGAACTATGGGAGCTGACGCCTGACCCACTGAAGTCAAGGAAATATTGAGCTGAAAGCAACCTAAATGAACCCCACTTTCAATCGTTGTGGCATGCAACATGAGAGTTCAAGCATTCAAAATGCGGGTACTTGGGTTCCACTGTGTATCTCTCGGTGTACAAATAGATGTGTAGAAAGCTACCAAGCCAAGCTGCCTTTGGACCTGACCCTGCTGACAGGTGTTTGGTGGAGGAGAAGGAGGAGAACAAAAAAACGTGATTGGAGCCAAGAATTGTTGACCTTAAAGCCAAACTATACGATTTTGGCGGTTTTAAGCCTCATTTATCTCATTTGTTCCTGGCAAAATTCGTGTTGAAACATCATAACCATCCGGTTTTTGCAGGGCAGCTGATCTTAAGGGCTCATATAAACAGCTTCTCCGAGCAGCGCACACGAGGAAGGAGCCGAAGCAACAGAAGCGGTTGCGTCCTGGCCTCAGTCGTCCAGTAGCTGGGGTTCCCAAACATCTTGCCCCCAAAATAGGGATTTAGAATTCGAAGGCAATGATGTAGAAAAACATGAGCATTTTGGCATTTTTTTCATTGACCCCTTTCATTCTGCAGCTCAGGATGATATGGCAATGGATCTTCGCATTTTTTTCTAGTGATATCATACATGGATATACCCTCTGGATCCCTCTGGTAAACTAACATAACTATGGAAAATCACCATTTTTCATGGGAAAACTCACTATTTCTATGGTCATTTTCAGTAGCTACGTTAGTCATTACCAGAGGGTACGTGGCATGTGAAAAAATCACCGAGATCTCCAGTCGGTGTTGCCTCGGACATGGCTCGGTGCCACACCATCCCTCCCAAAGCTTCATGGACGAGTCCACCTGGTGAATTGGGAAATCCCAAGCCTCACTGAAAAATGCCAAGCCAAGGTGCACTAATATGTTTCTATACATGTTTATATATACATGTAAATAAATATGCACACACACACATACATATATATATATATATACATGGATTCTCCTCAATGACCGGGACAGCTCATGATAAGACCCACAGAAGCTTCCAAATCCTTCAATAATATCCAAAAATGAGCAGTTCCAGGCACACGAACACCATCTCAGGTGATGCTTTGCCCGCCCCCAGGCCTCCAAGAAACACGGGAAAGTTTAGCAGGTTGCAGGGGAAGACTGTCAGCCCATCAGCTGCGGGTTCAGAAAATCTTGGGCAATCCTTCTTGGGAACTCGCGGCCAAGAGGACCGAGTTCCCCCTGCTTTCCTTCTCATTTACCGTCTTGAATATTGTCCAAGATGGCTTGTTCCCGATTTGCTTCGATGCTCTTGTTGGTTTGTATTTTCACCATTTTTCACCATTGTCCATGTAGAGACAGGACTGTGACTGGGGGTCGGTTCATCTCATCCCCCTCTGATTACAAAGCCTTTGCATTATGCAGGGTCTGATCGCGGACGGCATTTTGACACCAGCGTCAGGTGCCCGTAGCAGCGGTAGCAGCGGCTCCTGCTTGGCGCAGGGGCCAAGAGATGCCAAAAGCAGGCATCGGAAGATAGATTGGATCTGACGTGATCTGATACTACTGCTGACTCTCCGGAAACCCAGAAGGTGGAAACACACACAGTCCAGGTGGAAACCATCTTCCAGAAAGGATCGAGGCGGTCAAGGCATCAATTCACAGTGCAATAACAGGCTCCCCCTGGCCCACACTGCGAGCATATACGATGTACCTACTATAACTATACTTTTGCATGCATTGGCGTGTAATTACAAATGTCCTTTCTCCTTTCTCCTGTCTCCTTTCTCCTTTCTCCTTTCCCTCCTCCTTTCCCTAACCTATAGATGGCGCAATCCAAAGTTATGGTTTTCCCCCAAAAAAATGGACCCCAAATCTTAATACTAAGTTTAAACTAACCTAGAGGAAAACAGGTTGTTCTCAACCACGTGTGTTGGGAACCTATAGATGGCGCAAAACATCCCATCCCCCAAGTGGTCTATAACTATAGATGGCGCATTTCAAAAATGAGCGCCATCCATGTTCAAAATGGAGCATATATATATATGTATATGTATATATATATACACATGTAACTACATGTTTTGGTATATGATCACATGTGTATGTATATATATATACATATATATATATCCAATGCGATGTGATGTGATGTGATGTTTTAATTTTATGTCATGTTATGTGCTATAAATATGTTATGGTATTTTATCTTATCTTATCTTATGCTTTATTTATATATATATAATCATGTTATCTTGTGTTATGTTATTTCATGTTATATAATTATGTTATCTTATGTTGTGTTATGTTTTGTAGTTATATAATATGTATATATATAATAATAATAATAATAATAATAATAACAATAAAAATAATAACAATAATAATAATAATATGTGTGTACGTACGTGTATATTAATATTACACATATATATATATATATGCCATTCCGACTGAAGGTGATCCCAAAAAAACGCACTGAAACTCGCCGACTGAATCCACCACGCGGTCGCTACTCCTGCAAGGGCTCGATAACTCGCCGAGACATGCATCTGAACCTCGAGGCCGGCGCATGCAACGAAGCAGCCGCTACAGATGGGTTGGATGTAATTGGTTGGTGAATGGTTAGTAAATGGTGAGTTATAACTTATAGATAATCCAGTTGGGGGACTTAACAACTTATTCACTGGGGTTACAGTATTAGCATGTATTAACCATTTGGTCACTGGGATGATCCTCCAAGTATCATGTACATGGGTGGTACCAAAAAGGCATGAAGGTGCCCTCTGAAGAATGAAAAGGAGAAACCCAAAGGCCATCAAAGGCCCCGAGAGCAACTAATCCAAAATGATGGAATGGCATTGCTAGGTGAAGTGTCATAAAGATGGACCTGCACATTCTGTTTTTATTTCCGTGAGTTTCAAAAAATGGAAAATATGATGTGGGTATGAAGCATTATGAAGCAGGCCTGGATCAGTACCTGGTTTTTATCCCAGCTGCAGCTCGAAATCGATCCTTTGAAATGGGCGCGCACGCTGGGAAGATCCAGGCAGAAAGGACCCCGCTGACGCCTGGAGCGTGACACTCAAGTTGTCGCTATCAGGTCGTCCACACCGCTTTTGGAAAGAATGTGAAGAGTTATTTGGAATCATTATCACTCAAGTAATCACCGGCAACTTTATGTTTGAAAAAGCAATGCACTTATACATGTACCCTCCGGTAATCAAACGTGGCAATTTATGGGAAGCCCCTTTAAACTAGCCTTAATGATATCAAGACCTTCGACCAGAATTGCTTCATGCGTCATTCCAGGCATTGCAACCTCCTGACTCCAAGGAGCTCCAAGGGTCTCCAAGGGTCCCCTTCAACCTACCAGGGACCCGGGCCAGCAGCTCGCGGCTGGGTAGACTCGATGGTCAACATGCGACTGGTCTCATGAGCATTTTTCTCAGCACCTTTGGGGGAATGTCTCCAGATGGGATGGGGCTGGGGATGGAATATGTTGGGTGATACATGGTGATACCGTGATACCAAAAGGGAAGGCCCTTTAAGATCTTGAAAAAACACCAAAGACCGCAAAAAAAAATACTTTTTGAAGAACTCTCCAGCGTTGAGGTCCCAAGGGTCAACCTGACCTTGCAACCGTGTCTGGCAGGCTTTGAAAATTTTACCTCCCGCATGAAACCATGCAGCTCAGTGGCCAGACATCACATCCTTCACCTTTATCGGTGCCAAATGACCTCAACAGGCCAGAGTTGAGTGGCTGGTACTGCACAGCTGTTGTCCAAGATGGAAAATAGTCCAGTGCTTTCCTGTGCAGAAACTAGAGGGGTCTGCTTCTTGGTTTCCTGCAGGCACCTAATGGGACCACCCGTTCAGGTCGCCAATGTGCCACCGAGCAGCCCACGACGTCTCCTCGACTATTCACCAGGCTCAAAGAAATTGAAGCCGCCGGATCGTTCACCTCGAGGCCGCCAACAAATCACTCAGCAAAGAGGTCCCGAATGGTCTTGGACAGTTTGGGAAAGATCCCTAGCAACCACCATGGAGCTACCTGAGCTTCACCACCTCTACTGGTTCCAAGTGACCAGTAAGGCGAGGGTCTCATACCAGGAGAGCTCCACGCATCGCACTTCGCCATAGTCCTGTTTCCGTTTCGCTTCGCTCTGCTCGTGCTGGGCCTTTGCGGCTAGGTACTGAGCTACCTGTGGCCGCGATGGGTTTATAGCAGCCGCAATCGCAACCCGCGTGGATGGGTTCGAAAGATCCCTGAATTGGTTAACCCTCCTAGTTGGCCTTTTAACTGATAGTTTTCACAAATCAAAGGCCTAAGCGGCCAATAAATAAAAATGTTCTCTAAAAAAATAATCCCAGTTCCTCAGCTGCCACCATCCCACCAGTTCCACCCACGGATTTCCAGCGAGGCCGCCAGGCCTGGTCCACATCTACCTCTACGATGTCCGCGATCTCCGCGGGATCCGCGTCGCGCGCCGTCAACTGATCGATGACGTGGTGGAGGCAGTCAGGCAGGGAGGTCTGGAAATCCTTGAGGCGAGTGCGATTTAAATTGGCTGCCTAATGGTGGCCTTGGGCCTTGTTCCGTCAGGAACACGCGAAACAGTAGCAACCGGTGTTTAAGAGCGCAGGCCTTTGCCACCGCACCAGAGAATCTTTGCCAGCTAACTCTTTGTGAAGGGGCATCAGGGGTCCCTAAAGGTGTTATCTCAAGAACAAGCCGAAAAATAAGAAAGAGAAGAGAAGAGAAGAGAAAAGAAAAGAAAAGAAAGAAAAAAACATGGAAAAAGAAAGTGAAAAATAAAATGAAACAATAAAGTAACAAAACGAAAAAAAATGAACAAAAACAAAGAAACCGAAGCAAAATGACCGAAGGACACGTAGCACTCATGGTTTTACATGCAATGCCCCACACACCAAAACGCTCCAACTGCTGTTTCAGGTGCCGGATGCTCCGGAGGCTTGCCATTGGAACTGTAAACCGCTTGATCCTCCAGGATCCAACACTTCCAGCGCAAAGCTTTCACCGCCTCCTCTGGAAATCCAGTGCCTCAATCACTAACAATCCCAGCCCGGAACCAGTGGGAACTGTTTCACCTGGTAGTTCTAAACCACCTGCCAAGTGTTTCACTGTGCAGTGATGGCCCAAGAAAGCAGGAAAAGGGGTAGCTGTAGCTGATACGCAGGCAAGAGTTCTGGCCACAATTTTCTCACCCACCCCCACTGGTTTCCACTCACAGTGTCACCGTGTCCAAAACCAAACTCCGATGATCAGGCCTCCTATCTATCTATCGATCTAATCTAATCTAATCTCATCTAATCTAATCTAATCTAATCTATCTTTCTGTCTATCTATCTATCTATCTATCTATCGATCGATCTATCTATCTATTTTATCTTATCTTATCTTATCTTATCGATCGATCGATCGATCGTCTATCTATCTATCTATCTATCTATCTATCTATCCATCTGTCTTATCTTATCCTATCCTGTCCTGTCCTATTCTATCCTATATATGCTCACATCCGAATCCATCAAAAAGATTGAAAAAAATGACCACAAGCAGATGTTCCCTCGGAAATTCATGGGAATTCGAGGTGTTTTTTTTTCGGCTCCCTCGCCTTGATGCAGTTCCAGCAGCACCATACCCTGCGGCTCCCCGCGTTCAACGGCCGCGGCTCCCGCGGGTCCCGGTGACGCCAGGTCCAGCCACTTGAACTTCAGGTCCAGTTCCTAAAGGCTGTGGCAAAACTGGAGTTCAACTATGGAAATTGGTGGTTGAACGTGGTTTAACATGGTTTAACAGTTTAACCACCAACAAAAATTGGGAGTTAGCCATAAAAATCGATAAAAATGGTGGTTTACCACCAAAAACTCAGGGTTTCATATGGTTGAACCATCCTGGTTAGTACAATGGGGGGATGGGTCAAAGCCCTCTCCAGCCCACCCTGTAGCTCACCCAAAAAAAACTCTGGCAAACGGAGGTTCATCCTCCCAAAATATGGTGGAATAAGTTTTGATCCATAGCTTGGTTAATCAGCCCTTGAGGGGGTCACCTTTGGGGGTGTTGGTTGAGCCATGATCTTTTTGGCCAAGAAATTGACCTACCAAGGTCCAGAATCCCTCGGTATCTTTTGCACTCGAATCTTGGGGCCTCCTGAAAAGTCATGGCGAGTTGTCCCGCACATGCTGCCTTTGGCAGAACAAACGGAACAGCCGGCAACGAGGTGTCCACAAACCTCCTTACATGGGTTTGCCCAAACAAATATGTACCCCACAAATTGTGATTTCAATGGGGAAAAACTGGATTTCGAGGTACCCAATTCTTGGACAAACCCATATATGGCAAAATCAATAATAAAACTTACCCGATTTGCGCAACGTTGGAAGTTCTGAGCTGGTATAGGAATTGATTGCGGTGCTTACCACATCTTACCACATTCTACATCCTACACCTGCTGGGTTCAAAGCCAGAAAGCCTCACTTCTCCGAGCAATTGAACTGACTGATGTGCTTCCTGATTCCAGGTCCGGACTGCCAGGGAATTGGATTGACCCCATGCTTGAGGCCATCGCGTTGTGCACCATGTTGAGCCTCGGAGGGCCCCTTGTGGCATGTTGGAAAGACAAGTGCATCGGTAGATTGCCCAAGCCGCGCAAGGTTTGAAGATCCTGGAGGTGCGCGGTCATACCCACTGAATCCACAATGGGATCCATTTCGGAGCGCTGGGGAACTGGTTCTTTCTTGCCTTCCACAGGCAGACGTAGCTCCTCTTTGCCGTGGGCAAAGGTGCATGCTGCACCCTTGCTGCACTGACCCTTGGAACGGAACTGATAGCACAGTTCCGTACGAACCAAGCTTGGAGCGTCTCGCAACTCTGCCGATGTGTGTGCAAAGGTGCACTCGTTGCCCATATGGCAACGCCTGGAATGCCAGAATTTGCACATTCTGGTAAACTTCAAAGCATCTCGGGTCTCGGGTGTCGACATCGCGGCTCCGCATCAATTGTTCTAAAAGTTTGCGTTCCAATGTTTTACATACTTCAAAAAGTATGCCTCGAGCCAAAGATATGAGCACATATGGATGAACGTGGATTGCGGGCCAGTTGGTCATCCAATCGAAAAACGATGCCCGATCGCCGATGCCCAAAGGTGTTGTTGTCGGGTAATGACCCGCAGAAATTGATATATTTCAATATATTTCGGAGATATACTATACACATATGCTCATACACTTGATATATTTACATTGGATGTCTATCTATCCTATCGTATCCTATCGTATGCTATGCTATGCCAGTTTAATTATCCATAAGTACTTGACCATTCTATTTTATTAAATTTGGGGAGTTCGACATAGCTTGATATATGAGTAGCGGACAAAATTCCATGCACAAATTAGGGTCGTCCCTTATCGGTTGTGAGGATTTCAGTATTCCCGGAGTCCCGGAGGTATCACAAATGGGGTATCGGTATAGGGGCGTCCCCTATCGGTTATGAAGGTTTTGTGCAACCTCGGAAAGGCCAAGGCGAAGCAAAACTAAATTAGTATTACAATAATTGTGTCCGTTACTCATACGTTTTCCAGCGATAATTGTACTGCCAATACTTGGGTGTGTCCAGCCAAGTCTTCCAATTCCATTCGCAAAACAAGGATGGACCTGGATGGATCCATTTCATAAATTTCCATTCGGGGCTCAACTTACTGACCCCCCAAAAATAGAGGCTCGCTGGGCCGCTGGGCAGCAAATCCCGTGGTTTGATGGCAGCGGTTGCACAACTTGGTGGGTGGCATTTCATGATGAAAAACTCTCCAAAGCTCCAATCTTAAATGATCTTAAATGGATTTTTTTCAGGAGCATTCCCTGACTTCACCCCACCTCCTGGGTAGACTCGTAGACCCTGGCTTTAAAAAGCCTGACCTCCAAGCAATCGCCCAAGCAATCGCCCAAGTCTCTGAGGGAATGCCCGTGTTCACAGGATCATCCACATGCAGCAAACCCGACTTCACCTCCTGGCGAAACGTCTCAACATCGTCCCAGTGTTGAAGAGCCATCCATTCATTTGTGATTCATTTTTGAAAACAAAGAAATTAGACAGAAATGAGACAGAAAGAAATATAGAAATTATAAATGGACAAATTGTCCTCATGAACATTAGTCCCAAAACTTGGATAATAACACCTGATCAAAACTGATTTAAAGAAGAATGCATTATGTATATATATATATATAAATACCATTGTTTGAAAAGTAAAATCCAAAAATGGGATGAAAACTCCACGTCCTTGGTATCCAACTTGTAGCGCTGCAGCCCGCGGCCTCCAGGGCCTCCAGGGTTTGGGCCTAGCAGCTGAGTGATGCTCAGGCGTAGTCGGCCCAGCAGACCCACGAAGTTCCGCTGGAGGAATCCCTCGTCGTTGTCCATGACGTCCACCTGGGGCCGGCTACGCCCGTGGCAGGGACGTGGGATGGATCTACCCTCCATGGAGGGAAAGATATGGAAATCTGATGGAAAAACCCATGAAAATCCATGTTAAATCATGTCCAAACAGGAAAGAACCCATGGATTTCCATAGCTAGGCTATGGTAGTTTGCTGGAGTGTAGCCTCCAAGAAAGAATGCTGTGTGTGCGTCAGTGTGCCAATATCTCCCGTCCGGCCAAGGTGGTCTTGGGAGACTTCCGACTGGAAACTACGGTGGATGAACCAAATCAGTCAGGCAAATGGAAACCCACTTGCTCTTGAGGTATAAAGAAGGACACTTTCCCTTTCTGTGCTACCCCCAGTCCAATCCAACTGAACTTTCTGCACAAACGAAACCGAGAAAATGAACGTATATACAGCAAGATTCGAACAAACCCTGAGCCACTGAGTCTGTCTGTTACTTGGCAAATTTAAGCTATCCCGCTATGAGGATCCCTTTGGCAAAACAAAATGCTGATCCATGACAATAAACCAATTGGGACTGGAACTTGAGTGCGATTCACATATATGAACACAATGTAACATAATTATCAAATGATATGAAATGCTTTTATTTTTATAGGTTTGCCATGGTTTACCCTGGTTTACCACAGATTCCATCGAGATATCCATCCCAGCTGGGCCTGCAGTTCCTGCTCCCGGTTGTGCACAATGAAGTAGGCTGCGTCCTCGTCGGGCCAGTCGGGGTTGGTGCTGTTCTTCACAGTGCTTGTCTTGATCGAAGTGCCACCCAAGCGAAGGACGCAGTAGGGGTTGGAGGTGAAGTTCCGAACTGCTCCCATCTTCCAGTTGGCGCCTGGGAAGCTGCAAAAAAATAATCAATGAGGGCAGAGTCGAAGTCCATGCAGATAGAGCAGCCATAATGGACAATTTTCTAGCCGAAGGAAGTTTAGAAGTCAAATTTCCGACAATATGGACAGATGAAAAGCAGAGATGGGAAGAGTCAGCCAAGAGAAGAGAAGAAGAAAGAGAAAGTCTCAGAAGAAAGAAGATCCAGGCGCGCGAAAAGGTAGGAAAGTCGCGAAACACTGCGTTTTTCCAATGGTTTGTGGCTCCAGAGGGTCGAAAAGTAGGCTCGCTAAAGCGGCGGGTGTGGAGCCCGCTGGGCAGATGAGAGATGAAAAATTGCACACCGTTGTGGCGCGAAGCACATGTCGAAGTCAAAATGTTAAAAACACCACAGGTTCGGACCTGAATTGCTGCGTTTTTGATGTTGTCAAGTTCAAAAATTGAGGAAGTCTCGCAGAATTGTTTCGTTTTTGACGTTGTCAAGTTCAAAAATTGGGGAAGTCTCGCAGAATTGCTGCGTTTTCAAGCTTGCAGGTAGACACACAGACAGACAGACAGACAGGCAGGCAGACAGACAGACAGACAGGCAGACAAACAGGTAGATAGATAGATAGACGCGCCATTTCAACTACAACTACCACTGGCACTACACGGCACCACACCACAGCTACAAATACAAATATACTACGCTACATTGCACTACACTAACTACACTACACTACACTATGTAATTACATCTAATTACACTACACGAATTACACTAACAACAACAACAACAACAATAACTACTACTACTACTACTACTACCACCACCACAACTACAGCTACAATTACAACTACACCACGCTACACTATTTACACTGCAGCACGCTACCACTACAAATACAACTACAACTACAACCACACCACATTACACAACACTACGCTACACTGATTACATTGCATTACGCTACAACTACAGTTGCAGCTGCAACTACAACTACCACTACATTACATTACACTACACTACACTACACATACTACACTACACTGCACGACACGACACGACACAACACTACACTACACTATATAATTACACTGCACTACACTACAAATACAACTACACTACCTTACGCTAGACTACACGACACTATGCCACACTACACTACACAACACTGCACGACATTACGCTGCATTACACTACACTAATTACACCACACCACGACTACAACTGCAACTGCACTTGCAAATACACCAATTACACTACATTACAGCTCCAGCTCCACTACACTACACTCCAACTACAGCTACAACGGCAACTACAACTACAACTGCACTACACCACACTACATCCAGCAGCTGTGGTAAGGTGACCACTGCAACCATTGCAACCATTCCAAAAAACACAACTCCAACCACCTGTCGGTCCATCGGTGGATTCGCTCTACCTCTCCAAAAAAGTGTCCTATCTTTGAAACTTCCACCACCGCCTTGTGCGGTACTGGGAATATCTCCCAAGACCTGGACATCCTGGACCTAGAGGTTCTTGGAGGCGGATGATGATTCCTCAGCATACCTGGTTTAGAATATTTCATGGGTATCAATACAGTATCAACATCATAAACCCCTATCAACTTGCAATGTTTCGACTGCATACTGCAAATAGGGGGACATATCGTTGCAAGGAGATGCTTTGAGAGGCTATGACCACACAGCGACCCCCAAATGCACATTATTTCAAGGAGCTATAGTGATTCTGGACCAGGGTTCAGAATCAGTTTGTTGCAATGCCACGGCTATGCGTCCCATCTACAACTGGATCATACACATGATTCCTCACTAGCTACGAACTGAGATGAACTTCAACTATGGCCAGCATTGATGATAGTATGAACCCCTCGTTTTCACAATCAAAGCCCGATGTTGGATGATGTTTAATGATGTTTGACGAATTTTGATGTTCGACGCCACACATGTTAAACCCAAGAAAATGCAAATAAAAGGACTGATTTTGTTGCCAAAACATGTCAAAACAATCATAAGAGGCATTGATCCGTGGGGAATTTTCAGACCGCAAGCGGCCCCTCTCAAAAATCTCCTCCAAAGCACCCCCCCTTCCCGGCCTTCCTCAGTTTTTCCTCCCTGGTAAACATCAGATTTGGCGATATTGGTTTACCCCTCATACACCAGTAGTCAGCACCATTTCAAACACTGGTGGTCATATAGCCCAAATAAATGATAAGATCATTCCCAATTCAACCCATCGTTGATGGTCAGAATCCAAACTTTCATGGCTTTGAATCCCATGCTCTACGGTTCTTTAAGTTGCTGTAAAGTGCGGTGGGGCGGAAAGCCACCATTCCTTGGGCAAAGCCATAGATGTTTGTCTGGAAATGGGGGATACCCCCAAATGCCAATTGTTTATCCGGGGAAATTATTATTTATCTACATGTGGATCTGGTTTTTTCCATGGTTTTCCCCTTAGTTTTATTTATTTTTCAGGTACCAAAGCCAGCCAGAAGTGCAGGCCGCCCCGCATTCCCCTTGGGGGCACCTGCCAGGTTCAGGCCGCGACAGGCGTGTACCTTCAAGACACCAATGGGTTCCCGTGTGCAGGCCGCTAAACTGAGCAGGCGCTCATCGCTGGTGATCTCCAGACATTTGAAGTTGGGCAATACCAAAGTGGAAGATAACCAGTCCTTGGCGGAAAGGGAGGTAGTTGCGAAATAGACGATATAGTTATACGTGTTGTAAGTGCATGTGTACATATATATATATTTATTTATTTATTTATGCATTTACTTATTTATCTCTATATATATATATGTACAGCAAACAGATAAACAGCCAAGGGATGTGGATGCTGGAACCTGATGAAACATTTGCATCGGAATAACTTGACGGACCTAGGCAGAAAAGGAATGTTCACAGAGAAATGAGGATTTGAGACATTTTAAGACCTTATCAGGTCTGAAACAGCCTCACATCTTACTTCCGTACAAGGTGTGTGCCCACAGTACCTTGCAACCTTTTTTGCTAGAAATGTCGAATTGGCCCATTCACAAGGACAGCTGGAAAAGCAGCTCCAGTGAGTTCAATACACTGATTGGCATATGGGCTGAAACATTGGTCCGCAAAATGTGGGATGCCCGAGATTGCAGTTTTGGTGGTGAACATGATGATAAACCATCCAATTTGCGGTTGCCCTACGTTGATACAAAGCCACAAAAACGCATAGCAGGCATTACGAGATGCTCATCCCAAAGCCAGGGTGGCCCTGGCTGTCCAACTTCAACCAGTTTCACCTACAGGAAGGACCCCCCCATCCTATCTAGATACATGTGTATGTATATATCATATTATCATATCATATCATATCATATGTCATATATCATATGCCTACCATTCATTTGGGGTTGGTCAAATCCCCAGCGCTCCCTCCTCTGTGGCCTTTTCAGCTTGAGGCTCCACAGCGGACTGCACTCGCTTCGCCAAACCAGGCAGTGGCGCGTCCACGATGCCGCAGAACTGCAGCTGCAGCTTGGGCTGCGCGGCGAAGTACACAATCACTGCACCTGGCGATGCTGGCGATGCTGGCGATGGCGTCAAATTGGTGCTGGGGGACTAGAGGACTATGAGACCCAAAAGAAATACTGTATGGATTTAATATGGATTTCATTGGGGTATGCTAATAGGTTTTTGATCCATCCTCACCTGCAAACGAGCTGCACAAGGCCGAAGGGATGGGGTTCCGCCAAGGTCAATTTGGCTTTGTCACAAGAAAAAAGGCATCCAGGGATAGAACCTATCCTGTTGCAAGCTTGTGATATTGAAATCCATCATTTCCTCAACATCACTGTATATCATATCACTGTATTTATCACTGATCTAAATCTTAGGTAAATGATCATTCAAAATTCCCAGACTCCCCAGACTCACCAGACTCACCAGATGGCCTACAATGGGCCAGGTGTCCAGCAGCGGTTTCAGCTCCAAACAGAGCCGCCCGAAGAAATCAAGGCGTTTCACGCCCAGTGAAAGGCTGGAGCCTGCCTGAGGCTTCCCGGCGCTTGGGGAGTAAGTGGGCTTCAACGATATCATGTGGAAAAGATGTAAACAGATGCAAAAAGATGTATATAAAAAAAGATGTAAAAGTGTCAGAATGTAAAACAAAAAGATGTCAAAAGACGTAATGTATATGTTGATAATATCCTTTGCAAATAGGAGGTGATGTCTCACTTGTTCTTGCTAGCGACGCCTTAAGAATATGTAACTTCATTGGAACTGTGGCGACTTTATGTGCGCCTTCAACAAGACATCCACAGCGCTGGCGTAGCGAATCTCCACTTCGATCAGCACTTGGCTATCGGAATGCCTCCGTACTTCGATGGGCCCAAAGGATGGAACGCCCTGACCCAAGGAGAAGCGTGCGAAGTGGATACCTGCCCCAAACCGCAAGCGGAGAAGCGTTTGGAGGGCTCAGAGCCCCACCAATGGACCAAGGCAGCAACCAAGGTGGGAAGCCATATGGGGTGAAGCGACTCTGTCATGACATCTAGATGGTAACCTTCTCCGCACTTCCACCTGTGAAAACAAACACCGGGATCCCGCAAAAAACTGAATTAACCATAATTAACCCAGTTACAAGTTGGTGTGTAACCCCAACTAATATAATTGTAGAGATCTGTATGTCTGTCTGTCTACCTAGCTATCTACCATGAAGCATAGTTAACCTAGTTATGAACCAAGTTAGCTCTTCCTGGGGGCAAGCCACGGCACTGTTGAAAGGACTTGGCAAATCCCGCTGCAATTTCTCAGTCAGCTCCTGGTTGATGTAGTTTTCAAGGGCAACGGTGGCATTGGGCCAAAGGGCCCTAGGCCAGGCACAGGGCAAGCCCCACGGCCACTGAAGAATTTTACCTTCTGGTAAACTAACATAACTATGAAAAATCACCATTCTTCATGGGAAAATGAACTACAAATTGTGATTTTCCATAGTTATCTTAAATTACCAGGGGGTAATATGTGTTTAATCATAAATACCTGGGTCAACCAGGATCATCCCAACCAATCTACAGGAGAATCAACCAAGGGGCTCTACCTGCGAGAACTTTCTTTGCATTGATTGTGGGTCCCAAAACACGGCTAGGCGCAGACAGAAATCGGAGAAATAGATTGGATTATATACCGTCTGGTAAACTAACATAGCTATTGAAAATGGCCATAGAAATAGTGGATTTTCCCAGCTTGAAAATGGTGATTTTCCATAGCAAACTGTTAAATTACCAGAGGACATGATTGGACTGATGGCGATAAGACGATCATGTCAGATAATATATGATAATTTCATACTAATGATTAGCCTACGTCTTCCCCATTTAGAGATGATGGTCCCAGAAAAAAATGCCCATTTACTTCGGGGACCTCCCAGCGCCATCTTTGATATGCTGGCCACCCAGCCTCAACAAGCTGTTGACCCAGACGAGGCTGCTGGTTTCGGAGGCTTCATCTTCCATGGGTCACTAAGCACTGGCTAAGCACTGGCGATCATCCTGGGGTCATGGAAACCAGTTCCTTAGGTTTTTTTAATGGTTATTTGGATACTAAACTTACTAAACCATACCATTTGGATCCATTTGGGGCACCTGGAAATATTCACAAACACCCAGATCTTGAATTAGGTCGGGATCAGTGCCATGATGTGCCATGGCTCCTGTGTAACCACGGGAAAGCAAATGTGTGTACACATGCACATATGCGTCACGTGTATCTCTATACATGTATGTGTATATATATATATATGTGTGTGTGTGCAGGATCTTCAAGGGGTGGCCTTTCGATCTATGTGGGGGCTGATATCCTCACATGTCAAACCCAATTATGTCCAGCTCAAGCCAAGCATTGCAAACGGCTGCCCTTCAGACAGCATGTCCCAGGAAGCTGGGCCGAACTCACCAAACATGTCAACTTCCAGCAACTCAGAGTCCACCATAAAATGATTGCGGGCCCCGGTTTCATCCGCTTTCATCCCACCCAACCCCATCGGCAACCCCCCGGTTGCGGCTTTACTGTGCTTTGCTGATGCATTTTTCACACCATGAAAATTGTTCCCAGCAAGGTCCAGCATGGTCATGATGAAGGTCGAGCTGGTTGGTATACCGGAGGTGCCCCCCTACTGCTGGAGATTTTCTTCCCGCGCTTTCCAAGGCATGGTCTTTGCCATACAGTGGATGGCTCCACCCAAATGCAAGTCCTAGGAAAACAGCTGGCAAAAAGCTGCAGAAAATCGGCCCTCGAGTAAATCAGTTCCAGGTTGGCCGTGACGATGGTCCAATTCATTGAAGAAATCTTGATCCATCCTTTGGAACTGATCCAAGTTGGCCGTATCACCGATAAGCTGCATCAAACACTGAGATTATGATTAATGACGTTCCCGCTTCCTCAAATCATATATCTCCAGGCTAAGGTCATGCTTTGTGTTAAGATCACAAGGGTGTTTCCAAAAAATTGAGGGATCCCTGCCCAAGATCGATTCTTTCAACGGTTTTTTCCCCTAACAGAAACAAATGGGTTTTCAGAACATCACCCCATTTTCTGGTCACACCCACTCAGTTTCTTCCTCTCGGTACCATAGTGCCGGCCATGCCAAGCCATGCATCAATTGCAAGGTCTGTACATTTGCCAAAAACTTCACCCTGCAGTCACCAGGCCGACAGACAGCAGGCCGAACGGTTCTTTGACCTCAAAAAAAATGCCCGTTGGGCGTTCAATTTAGGGTGCAGCCCCAGGTTTTCAACCCAAAACCAAATTTAAAAACCTGAAGGGCTAAGGTATGAGCAAAAAATATATAACACGATGAAAAGCTGACCTGACCCCTATTTCCGAAAATGAAAAATCAAGGTACAAAAGATTAAACCCAGTGTCTCTGGGGCATGTTGAAAATCGAAAAAATAATGGCACAAGAGATGAAAACAGCAGTGTTCAGCATGTGATTTAAAAAAAAAACTTGAACTATAAAACGAGCACTTGCGCGGGAAATGTTCAATCACAACCTTTCCTTCCCACCCAGTTTCCGCTCCCACATCGAACCAATGCCTTGTTGGCATTGCAAATGCCAAAGCTTTCAACGTTGGCATGTACAAAAAGAAAAAAAACTTTTTGAGGTAACAGCTCTCCAAATTGCACCAAGCATTTGCGCCAACCCATCCTGAACCTACCTCCCAAAGATACATCACAAAACCTCAGACCCTAAGGTTTTCATCTCACACATCTGTTTTGAACTTTGCCGGAACAGCTCTCCATGTTACACCACGCATTTGTGCCAACCCATCCTGAACCTACCTCCCAAAGATACATCACAAAACCTCAGACCCTAAGGTTTTCATCTCACACATCTGTTTTGAACTTTGCCGGAACAGCTCTCCAAATTGCACCAAGCATTTGTGCCAACCCATCCTGAACCTACCTCCCAAAGATACATCACAAAACCTCAGACCCTAAGGTTTTCATCCCACACATCTGTTTTGAACTTTGCCGGAACAGCTCTCCATGTTACACCACGCATTTGTGCCAACCCATCCTGAACCTACCTCCCAAAGATACATCACAAAACCTCAGACCCTAAGGTTTTCATCTCACACATCTGTTTTGAACTTTGCCGGAACAGCTCTCCATGTTACACCACGCATGTGAGCCAACCCATCCTGAACCAACGTCCCAAAACACACTACAAGCTTCAGATCCGTAAATTTTCATCTCACACATCCCTGTTTTGAACTTTGCCGGAGCAGCTCTCCATATTACACCACGCATGTGTGCCAACCCTGAACCAACGTTCCAAAGATAAACCACAAAACCTCAGACCCTAAGATTTTCATCTCACACATCCCCAGATTTTGGAAGATGTGCCAAGTTTCAAATGGAAACTACATGTCCGCAGCAAAACTCTGCTGCCACATCAGAAGTCTGACCCCACTTGATCACTTGACCCATCTGGCGAATGCGTGCGAATGCCAACAATCGTCACTCAACTGGGGAGCAGGCCCATGCCATTTTCCGATCTCATTGGTGCCTCCCTTTTAGGAGGTTGCCTGGCTGCGCCACAGTTTGACCACTGGATGGACCGGATGACCCAACGACTATGCTGCAAAGGAAACATAGCGCCTAGGATTGGTTCTATGTCTTAGTGGATGTGGATATCCACAGCTCCCACCAGGCTGCGCCTTTCGGCGGACAGTACCGTAAGCTCCTTCAGCCAAGGGATTAGGTGCCCCGGGATAACATTAATCCACTGAGGTGCTCAATCTTCCCAAGTGTACATCATTGAAACCAACCAGGTGACATGTGCATGTCTAGCCTGCTATTGATGTATGCATATATATATATATGTGTGTGTGTGTACCAATTAATCTATTCATTGGTGTGTTTATTTGTTTGTTTCAAGAAATGTTATTGCTTCATGTGGCATTCGTATATACCCATTTCTGCTGGCTACATATGTGCCTATCATGTGCATTTGCATATGCATATATAGACATCTACATGTATATCTGCACAAATCAACAGAGTGAATACATAGGTAAATGAATTTGCAAACAAAACAATGTATGCATACATGAATAACGAATAAGTACATAAGATAGTGAACACGTCAAAGTGCACATGTTACGTATTACTGTGTACATTCCATTGTTTCATATCATATACTTTAGCAACCACTTAGGAGATAAATTTCCCTGCTGTCCATCTGAGCTTCTCACTGCATTGTGCTCGGGCAGCGCTCACATGCCATGCGAGTCTCGGCCGGAGATGCGCTTTCGGTCTGGATCCATGCGATGGTAGCAAATGCAAATTAGTTTATAATGGATTATGTAGACATAAAAACATATAAACATCGGTATATTATATATATGTGTGTGTATGCGTATGCGTATGCGTACGCGATCGTACGCAATCGTACGCGATCGTATGCGTATGTATACATGCATGCACGGATGTAACTAAGAAGGTGAGTAAGTAAGCAAGTGAGTGAGTGAGTGAGTGAGTAAGTGAGTAAGTCAGGGAGGGAGTGAGTGAGTAAGTGAGTAAGTAAGTGAGTAAGCAAGCAAGCAAGCAAGCAAAGAAGCAAGTAAGCAGGCAAGCAAGTAAGCAGCAAGTAAGCAGCAAGCAAGCAAGCAAGTAAGCAGCAAGTAAGCAGCAAGTAAGCAGCAAGTAAGCAGCAAGTAAGCAGCAAGTAAGCAGCAAGTAAGCAGCAAGTAAGCAGCAAGTAAGCAGCAAGTAAGCAGCAAGTGAGCAGCAAGTGAGCAAGTGAGCAAGTCACTCAGTCAGTGAGTCAGTCAATCAGTCAATCAGTCAATCGATCAATCAGTCAATCAGTCAGTCAGTCAGTTAGTCAGTCAGAGAGTGAGTGAGTGAGTAAGTGAGTAAGTAAGTAAGTAAGCAAGCAAGGAAGTAAGTAGGTAGGTAGGTAAGTAGGTAAGTAGGTAAGTAGGTAAGTAGGTAAGTAGGTAAGTAGGTAAGTAAGTAAGTAAGTAGGTAGGTAGGTAGGTAGGTAAGTAAGTAAGTAGGTAGGTAGGTAGGTAGGTAGGACAGTAGGTAAATACGTACGTGCATACGTACGTACGTATGTATGCACTGCAGGTGTGACTATGCATGCATATTGTGTTTATTTTTTTAATTTATGTAATGTATGTAGGTGTGTGTGTGTGCGTGTGCGTAGGTTTGTATGCGTGCCAGTGTGCATGTTTATTCTCTCTCTCTCTCTCTCTCTCCATCGCCATCTGTTGTTTACATGCTTCATGTACATTCATTTATTTGTTTGTGATCAGTCTTCACTCAAACATGAATTTGGGACTCATAGAAGTTAGGACTGCAGGTGTGGATATTGACTTGCAACCTTACCATCATCAATCATATGCTTGAAGGAATGTCCACAATGTTGTAAGGTATATGAACCTCCAAGTTGTGTAGCTACCACTGGGGCTAGGAGTTGAAATGTAGGATGCCATCATGGTAGGGCCCAATTGCCGGACAGTTCTGGCATCAAACAGCGGTGTTTCTTCGGTTGTCGCAGCCAAAGGGCAAGCTGAGAAACCAATACAATACAGTAGAATATCAATACGGACAGTATATAAACCATTGTAAACCCAGCATTTGGGGATGGTTTATCCTACCAGATCCAGAATTTATGGCAGTAGTGGGAATGTGCTGTTTTACTATAATCATGATTTTCTATGATTGGGTTTTCCACATGAACATGGAGATAGGATGTCAAGGACTTCTCCTTGCCCGAGGCCCGCACACGTCTGCACTGAACCAAACTCAGCCGTCCGAACTGGTGCCACCTCGGAGCCAAACAGCATAGCCGCAGCCAGGAGCGGAGGCCGCCCAGGGCAAACTTCAAGAGATCTCAATGATTTTTGGTTAAGTTAAACAAAGAGCCAACCAAACTATACCAAATCACTGTTTTCTGAGTTTGGCACCGTCACTGGCTCCATGGGTGGCATCGGGGGTTGGGCTCTGCGCCCATCCAAGGTACGCAGCTGAGCGAACTCATTGGCATCGAGCACCCCATCGTGGTTGGCATCCAGCACATCGAACAAGGCTTGCGCCCGAGCCATAGGTTGGGATGCCACAGATGCAGCCGGCATCACCGGTCCTGTGGTTACTGTCACCGGGCTGGTCACAATGGGTGCAGCCACCGTGACTGGCGGCATAGTCACCGGGGTGCTGGTGACGTAGGTCTGCGGGCGGTACGTGTATGCTGGCACCGGCGTCAGTGCTGGTGCCAGGTTGGTCCTGGCCGGCACCGCCACTGGAGCGGCGCTCATCGAGGAAACGCTGACGGCGGCGGAGGACAGACGGCTATGGGTGGCTGGTGCTGGGGGCGCTGGGGCTGGCGCGGGTGCCTCTGGGAGCAGCGGCACGGCCTCGGGTTGGGCACGGCTGCGCTCGGAACGGCTGGGCAGCGGCACACGCGGGCCCTTCTTGGGGATGGAGGTGACCGGCGACGGTGGGGCCATCTCCAAGAGCTCCTGAAAAAGATTGCTCGCAATCGCCCAGTGTTTCCTTGCTCTTTGATTGAAAAGGTTCAGGCTCCAGTAACCTACTTGCGGGGTAAGACATGAAACCTTACTTGTTCTTACCTACATGTTCTATTTTCAATGTGGTTGAATAGCTCCAGAAACGTTGTTTGCTCCAATTTTCTTGGTGGGATCCACCCCCGGTCCGTCCACCCCGATCATCCAGTCCTCCGAAGACTCCTCATCATCCGGCACTTCCACATCGCCGCTGCGGGCCACACGCTTGCTCCCTTTCATCGACCTGCCGAAAGGTCCAGAGATCACAGAGTGGGGCCAGTGGGGGTGAAAGGTACCACGGGCAATATGGAGTTCTTATGGGTTTATATTTAATCGATTACCAAGTTTTGGAGTGCTTTCTGTCTTTGCTAATCCCCTTTGTAATATCTGGGATCCATCATTTATTGCACCTGGGTCCCACTTGTGTTTCGTTAGGGGTGGTAATGAGCTGGGAATTGTGCCCAGCACCGTAATTGATCTACAAAAATTAGGTATTGCTACGCCGACAACCCCTCAGTCGGCTGCTCCGAACCCATTGTTCAGACTCATGGCTGGAACATTCACACCAGGCTTGCGAATCCTGCCAGGTCACTGTGTGCAACAAATGAAGGCTGCGACGGCCATTGCGACGGCCACCCCAAGCAAGACCCACAGCAGAGTGTGGTCATGATGCTCATGGTCATGAGCGTGGAAGTCCTGAGGCAGGCGATTTGCAAGGATCATGTCTCACTCTACATGGCTCCAGTCGGGCAAGGTCTATCACCATGCATCCCCAACATTTGGCGGCTTAACTGGGGCACCTATCCTGGATATTCCTGGGTAAAACAGCTATGCCATGCAGTATGGCCGAAGGCTGCCTGGTGAAAGACCCACGATTGCGGCTAAAATCCAGATGTGTGTTTGTGAAACTGTTATTCTACCAAAATCAGCCTCTTAGGTGAAAGTGTTTCACAGTGTTTCACAATATTTCTGGCGTCAAAATAGGTAGCCTTTGGTGGATTGATGTGGATTGATCAATGGTTCAATCCACCAAGCGTCTGTCACACTGGTCGCATTCGTGTCTTTGGCCACCGCGGTGGCATCTTTGGCACTGCCGCGTGCCTCTGAAAAGGGCCACCGGGGAACTCGCCGTGAAGGGCCAGTTCCATCATGTCCTATGGAAAAATCCTGGAAAACAAAAACACATAGGAAAACCATGGGAAATCCATTTCTTTGGTTGGGGTTTCATGACAGGCTGAGACTTTGTGCAGTCTGATTGTCCACTTCTATGACCCGTCACCGCCTTGATTGGTCCAATCATAACTTCTTCGGTGGTGGTTGTGGTGCTGGCGGTGGTCGTTGTGGGCACTTTGTCTGTCCTGACCAATGTCTGGGCGCAATTGGGGCTCCCATGCAGGTCAACACTCAAGGGATTCTAGACCCAACACCCACAGATTCCACAGATTCTTGGTTACTCTCCGGTAATGAAACATGGCAATTGTCAATCCCCAAACTAAATGGATGTTTTTCATAAGAAAATCAACTATGAATGGCAGAGCTGAGAGTTGAACATTCCGACGGGGAAATCATCCTGACTCAACCTATGTTTAATGGCCTCATGCAAAATCCCATGTTTTGGGGCAAAACAAATGGGGCAAAACGAACATGTGGTATTGTTTTGAATGATATAATATGGTTATATGGTAAACTTGGTAAACCTCATAATGAACCTCCAACCCAACCCATTTCTAGTAAGTCACGGGACGATTATTGCTTTGGCCTTGCCACATTGGCCGTAGGTTATATCCCCAGTTACTACCTGCGACAAGCCTATGAATTGCAGGCAGATTACCGTTCATCATTGAATTTTACCACATCAATTCCAAGATGCTCCATCTTTTCATGGTTCTAAATGGATTTTTCTGAGGATTTTCTACTCCATTCACTGGTTGATCATCATTGTCCCCATTAGAATTTGGGAGTTCATCCCCCGTTTTCGGACACGCCAAGTCATCTTGGTTTAGAAATCTCATTATGTCACCATCATATATATCTGCCATCCCTCTAATTAATATAGACCCTGCCAAATAAAGTGCTGGAGGACTACATTCCTCTAAAACGCGGTGGTTCTCAGGGTCGCTGATGAATCTTCGAATGTTTAGATGTTCTCCCCCACCAACACCAAGCTCCTCTGTGAACTGTGTGTGTGTGTGTCTTTCCATGTTTTTTCCCATGTTTGTTCATGATTTTCCCATATGTTTCCGATGTTTCTCCATGATTTTCCCATTTTTCCAAGTTTCGCCTTTTTTCCAATTGTGTCCCACCTTTTTCCCATGTTTTTCCCGGGTTTTCTCCGCCTTTTTTCCATGTTTTTCCATGGGTTTTGGTCGTTTTCGCCCCGCACCCGGGTTCCCGGACATCCAGTTCTGCGCCGTGAAGGCGCCCGAGGTCGCGGCCTTCTCGGCGGCTTCGGTGCCCAGGCGGGCGGCCTGGGCATTTTCTATGGATGTTTTCATGGCCTTTTTGGTTGATTTACCATGGTTGATAAAAACATCCATATGAAAAAAGGCTAAATATTTACCATGGTTGATTAACATGAATGAGATTTATCCTTTGGTGATTTAACAGTTTGCCATGGAAAATCGCCATTCTTAGTAGGTAGATATAGGTAAATCATCCATAGATGGACCATTTTCCATAGCTATGTTAAAGAACCAAAGGGCACCTCTAAAAAATTGTGATGTTCCATAGCAAACTGCTAGTTGACCGGAGGGTAACCCATGAAAAAAGTTATCTTTCATGGGTATTTAATGGAGATCTTTGCCGTGGCATCATGATATGATAATGATATGATAAAATTTGAAGATCCTACTATGATCTGTGGAGATACCCATAATATGATCTATTGTGGGATGTAATGCCTATTAACCAATGGGCAAAAGCTAAATATACACATATATATATATATTTATTTATATACATACACATTATATATATATGTACACATTATATATGTATATGCGCATTATATATATATATGTGTGTACGTATGTATAATGCCTATATATAATTCATAGTATAATATGATATGACGGAAAATGATTGTGGATGTGGGAAAGCCAATGCGATAAACCTACCATCCTACCATTTGGAACCAATTCGGGGGATGGCTTAAACCATTGATGGCGATTCTGGGGATGGTATATTATTGGGTTTGCCACATTAATGAGTATTTAACCAATGAACTGATGAATAGTTGGAAGATAATGGATATGATATTAACCTTTAAATTTTGGGAGATCTGGAGATATAACTTAACCATCAACAAAGGGATTTGGCCAATGAATAATGATGAATAAATGATCTATATTGGATAATGTGTCCATATATTTCACTAGAATTCGGTAACCAAATTTCCAGCCTATTATTAAATACTCTCCGGCAATTTAACAGCTTAAAAAAATTGCCCATTTAGTTTGATTATTTACCTGTAAAAACTGGTTGTGGATATTAATGGTTGTTCAACCATCAACCATAGGGATTTAACCAAAGAATAATGATATTGCACATCGATGCGGATAAGATCTGCAGTTATGGATATGGATATGGATTTGGGTACAAATGATCTATCAATCTAGGAACACATATATAGTTGATAGGCATCTTTTCACCAATTAGATATACGAATTCGGCTTTGGGGAATTGCTTATTTACAACATATTTGAATCTCAACTATAGCAAAAGATATACGTGTGTAGATCTGTAGGTGTGTGTGTGTGCGTGTGTGTGTGTGTGCGTGTGCGCGTCACAATAGATTGAGGTGTAGGCGCAGGTGCTCATAGACATGTATAGGTATTATACATGAAATACATGTAACATCTATTTAAATATTATATATATATGTATGTGTGTATTGATATGTGCGTATCTACAAACGGGCGACCTCGGCAGCTGAAAGGCCCGCTTTGATGCCAGCTAGCCTTGGCAAATGCCAGGTAATCAGGTAATCAGACATGGCTGGTGAAATTTCTGATCGGGTATTTAAATAGGACAGGAAAATCATATACCAATGCATTTCTTTCAGGTTTGTGCATTGGTTATCGGAGGATAACATTTTTTTTCCAGCCAATCATACGCTTTGTCTCCACAATCCTATCATGGGGGCGGTCATCCATGATGATGATGATCTCATTTTCTGCATGGTTTTCAAGACATGGATTTGGTATGGTTTGCCAAATTTCCTTGGTTCCATCCATCCCCATCCGTTGCTTCAAGGCTTCTGCTCTCCATTCTCTGCTTTTTCTCCCGCTGCAAATCTCAGACAAAAAGATCCTAAACCAAAAGAAAAAGGATCATATAGTTGTCGTGTATATACATGACATGTGTATATATATATATTAATTTTTCTATTGATCTATTCATTATTCATTCAATTCCCACCACCATGTCCCGGCCGTAAACACACCATGGCCATGGCACGTGGCGGCCTTCCTGGAGGCTTCTTCGGCCCCCACAGGGTCCATGCCGCCGTTGGTCGCGGCGCGCCCCGCCGCCACCGCGGCCGCCTCCAGCTGCCGCTGCGCCGATTGGCCGTCCGCCTTGCTGAGGCGTGCGGCGGCAGCACCGGCTTCGGCGGCGTCACGCTGGGCCGGGGTCTCCTCGTGGAGAAAACGCGGAGAACGGCAATCCCCAAAGATACCAAAAAAAAAAACCTTGGAAGTTTGGAAATTGAAAATCCTTAACCAAATTTTGGGTAAATATGCGCAAATGATTTTTCTGAATTTTTTTGGGGTTACAATACAGGTAGAAAGGTTAGACAAAGATAAAATGGTTGGATGGATGGACAGGATATATCTGATAATACAAGAGGAGGCAAGATGGAAAGGGGGAAGGCTAGACAATGCTAGACATATAAGTCATATAAGACCAGATAGAATACAGAGATGGATAGATATGGATGTAGATATTGATATTGATTTAAATCCGGCATAGATATAGATAGAGCGGATACAAATATTATGTGCCGGAATTGTCTAGATATAGCTAGCTGTATTAAGGATAATTATATATATATATAAGGCATGGATTCCGAGCATGCACGTTGGGTTGTTTCTGCGCCGCCATCTCCAAGAACATGAGCACCACTAACTCCCACAAAACATACACGCGAAGACGAGAAGAAGGGAAAGCTTGTGGAAACTGCTTTCCCACTCTCTGAAGACCCTGTCCTCCAGCGGAGGATAGCCATTGTTGTTGCCAGCCACCACCTTACCCGTGGCCGATGGCGCAATGGTCACCACCAAGTCTGGATCCATCTCCTCAGTGGCCCCGCCGCTCACTGCATTCGCCACGGCATCAGCTATCTTTTCTGCTTCCTCAGGGGACATGCCTGCAGCCGTTGCGGCATCCTTGCTGGCCTTGTGAGCTGCAGCAATTTGCTCCTCGGAAGAAAGGTGCTCGGCAGCAGCTTGATCGAAAGCTGCACGACCTGCTTGCTCAGCCTGCTTGTAGGGCGATCCCTTGGAGTGATCAGAGCTGGAAGTAGCTGCGCTTCCAGCTGTATTCCCAGCCGCTGCAGCTGGCACCGTCTGCTTGGCAAGCTTCTCCAGCGCTTCCGCTCCCAGCCCGGTATCCTCGGCCGTGCGGCGCAGCGCCTCCTGGACGCTCTTCAGCTTCTCTTCAGGTGCCAACCCAGCGGAGGCCGCCAGGGCTGAGGTGGCGATGAGTGAGGCCAGCTGCACCCCACCAACGCCGCTGCCCTTGCCGGCCTTGGCAGCTGCGATCCCCGCAGCCGTGGCGGCCAGGGCACTGCCCTCCTCTGGTGCCTTGCCATCTGCATGGGCAGCGCGCTGTGCTCCGGCAGCGGCCACTTTGGCAGCCTCTTGGGGTGACAGCGGGGCCTGGGAAGCATAGGTGCCAATGGCACTTGCAGCGGCCTCCAAGGAGGTTCAAGGTGGATGTTGGGAGCGCAAAACTGAAGCAAAGAGAGGAAGAAGCCTAAAGATTTTAAAGACCTCGAACATAAAAATTCGAGAACCCTTTCAACGTCCCTAACACATCCAGTTGCACTCTCGCAAATCATTTATCTGCAGGCCCCTTGCCTCCATCTGTTCCTCCAGGCTCATGCCTGCAGCCGAGGCCGATTCCGCCACGGCCAAGCCAACCTCTGCAGCCCTTTCCTGGGGCGACATGTCATCTTTAGTTGCCTCTGTAGCAGCCAACGCAGCAGCCATCACCGCTAGCTGTTGTTGCTTCTCCTTGCCGGCTTCAGGTGGTTTTCAGGGAAAAGGGAACCCGTGGTTAATGATCCATCTGCGAAGTAACACCCCTGATTGATCGAGGATGATTGTGACCATTAGGCTTCCAAAATAAATTTGCAAACATCTCTCGCTCCCTCTCTCCTTCTCTACATTGCTGGCTACTTGCTTCGTCATTGTCTTGGCTGCCTACGCATCTACGATACACATACAGTATTTAATTACTTCCTCAATGACAAGCCAGCCTGCCGAACTTTGCAGCACACTCTTTGTTAAACACATCATGTTGTACACCATCTAAGTCCAACTATATATTGGCATCTTCAATTCAATACCCACACAACACCCATGTGTGCTTGTCAGCACACATTCAAATCCCAGTCTTGCTGGTTGACTCTAAATCCGCATTTCTTCCTTCTAAAAGAAAATGCTTGCTGTTATTTCCTCATCATGTTCACCGTTCAAATCCCTATGGCTGTTGCTAAAAAATCAAGATATAATATATCACAACTTAACTGCGCCCAGCACATAAATATCTATAATTATATATATATATATTATTATACTAAATTATACATATACAGTATACATCCCCATCCTTCACAAATTTTCATATCGCCACACCTCGGCCCTGGGCCCTCGGCCTGGCTCTGCTGGTTCTTCTTCGCCGCCTCCTGCGCTCCCGCGGCCGCGATCTGCGCCGCGGACTGCGGGGAGAGACCTTCGGCCTTGGCTGCGCGGCCGATGGCCAGGGCTGCCTGCTTCACCTGGCGCTACCAAGTGGAGCCCATCAAAATGGGGTGGTTTAAACTCACCAAGAATGGGATACAACATAGTACGTAATATTATATATAAGGTGTGTAATAGATATATCTGTATATATAGATATATACATACACACATATATGTGTGCGTGTGTGTACGTATATTTGTTTGTAGAGCTAGCCCAGAAAGATTAACATATGGATATGGAGGATCACCCCACGAATCGCAACTGCCGCAGCTGGTGAGCTTTTGTGGGGTTAGTTTCCCTGGCAAAAACGGGATAATCCGGGGAAGCGGTGACTTTATAAACTAGCGCTACTAAGCTACTAACCACTTACTAAGTTGGATGCTCCTCCAAGTGAAGAGGCGCCTGCAGAAAACCACAGGGGCTCAATACTCAGAGCACAATTTCGAATTTGGAAGCATAACTTGATACTTGGTACACCACGATGTAACTACGATATGAGCAAGAATCGTGAGGATAGCATGGGGTATAGCAGGGGACATCATGGGGATATCATCTAAAATAGTGCGAACAACAGTCCCTCAGCGCCCTGGGCACCTGCTCCTCAGGGCTCATTCCCTTCTTGGCTGCCAAGCTTGATGCATCTGCCCCAACAGCTGCCAGCTTCTGAAACAACTGGCTGCTGGTGGAATGGATGGGCACCACACACTCATGATGCCAGGTGGTGAAGGTCAAACTTCCCTTACACTCCCTGGGCGCATCTTCCCCATAATCCTTGCGGCAGCAAGCGTTGCCGTTGCCGCAGAAGGGGCACATGCCACTCTTCTGCCCACATTCCCACCAGCAGTCTTTGCCAATATTCACCAGCGACTGAGACGCCACGGTCGCGGCGACTCCAGCTGCACCGGCGGCTGCGGCTGCAGCGGCTGCAGCAGAACCTGCGGTCTGCTTGACGGGAGCGATGCATTCGTGGTGCCAGGTATAGAAGTGGATTGGCCCCTGGCACTCCTGGCGTCATGGTGGATATGAAAAAATTCTAAAGTTGAAACCCTTCCAAGATATCCCATGAAAGGAGCGTGTTCCGTAAAATTGGTGTGGTTGAATCCAGCCCAGTCGGAGTAATTATATTCTTGAAAGCAGTGGAGCGAAATCCACCCAAACTGGACAGCTTCAGCGAGGAAAACAACGATTTCAAACGTCCCCAAGTTCTACACACACCAAATCTGCGATGTCACTCGAGCCCCAAATAATGTGTCCTTGGGCCCCTCAGTTTCATCATGTCTGCAGCAGGCATTGCCCTCACCGCAATAGTTGCAAAAGCCGGATTTCTGGCCGCATTCGCTCCAGCAGTCCTGAAAATCTGATGGCTGACACATTTGAAGATCACCCAGCGGGGCACTGCACCAAGAGTTATCTTGCGGTTTTCATCTGGAATCTGAAACGGGTAGTATCAACCCGGGTAGTTTTTCAACCCGTTGAAAAATATGATTCAGTCGGGGTCATCCCGAATTCGCTGAGAATAAAACCGGTTTCCCTTTTTTGTCGGTCTCACATCACCTTTTTGTCCGCTAAACCTAAGAGAAAAACACCACTGCCGGTAAATTTGTTAAACATATACCCGTAAAATCCCGTAAAGGCTATCTGCACCCCCTGTTTTGATGCATATACAATAATCGCATTCTACTCCCTGGGGCTCAGCCGTTATCAGTTTGATATAAATGTTTATATAAATATTGTTTGTTGATTCTGCGACAAACAAGTGATTGTCCCGCATTGTACGATAACCCTCCAACAAAAGATCTACAGAAGTAAAAACTTATCCAAAAAAAACATGTATAGATGCTTATAGATGTTTTTTGGTGAAAACCTACAGACCTACATGGCTAGTTCGGGAATTCCCAGCGGCCCACCATGATTACCGCAGGGTAACCCTCGTCCTTCCCAAAGTTCGAAACCATATGAATCCCGCTGGCGGCTGTTGTCATCTCATCACTCTGCCCTCCTTGCTCGGCAGCCTGGCCACAGGCTGAAGGGGATGCCTGATAAGATCCATCCATCCATCCATCCATCCATCCATCCAGCCATCCCTTCCCCCTCATATTTATCATATTTTTTTATTAATTGCCCTTACCAAAAAGAAATGACTTGTGGGTGTCCAATTCATATTGTAGGTTTGGGATGTAGATACCCACCCCTCAAAAATCCTGGTTTAACCTTGGAAATCCATACGTTTGTTAGGGATAGAAGGCGGCTCTACAGTATATCATGTCATGCTCAACGGATGGTTTCATCGAAGATTTTCCACTGCCGCGTGATAGTCCCCAAATGGACGATGTAAATCTGGTTGGTGGCTGAGTCGACGCCAAGGCCAAAGAACCCCTTCAATTCAAGGAATCAACAAATGGCCCTGCCGCCCATTGCTGAAGGCCACCATGTTGTGCCACCGGCGACCGTGCGCCTGCTTCAAGTTGATCACATTGGTCTTGGCTGGCAATGGCAAGGACAGGGGATGCCCGGACTTACAACCTGCAGGGCGGCGGCCTGGAACTCGGGTAACCAAACCACAAGAAGAGCCCTGGTATTCTGGGATGGCCCCTGCACCACACTCCGGCCTGCCATGCTTCGCGTGCTGGGCACTCCCAGTGGGTGAAAAGCATAGCCTCCACCATTCAATACGAAGTCCAAGGGCTCGCCTTGGCACCAGCACCCATTGGCACCCATTGGCACCCATTGGCACCCATTGACACTGCACCAGTGGCTTGGGGAAGATGACCTCTTTAAATCATAGGCACGGCGTTCTAGATTCGTCTCAAATCACCCATGACCATGACTAAAGTTGAAAAGTGCATAGTTTTGGGATGTTTTGGGTGGATTACACTGATTACACCTGCACCCCACTGGTACATTGGCGGCCTCCATCTTATGCCATTCCGAGGGGCATTTGTTGTCATTGTTTGCCGTGCAGGCCTCACCACCGCACCACACGCAGGGCTGCCCTTTTACTCTGAAGCCTGCCACACGTTCGTAGGGTCGACCATCAAAGCCTTAGTGTCGTGGCGAACGACTGGGAGTTGAGACCAAATTTGGGTGGTGGCCAACGTGGCATAAGGTTCAAGGGCATCAAATTCAGCGACACTCTACAACCAGAAACCCATCCTTGCTAAAGATTCCATGAGTGGGGCTGGAGCGCCATTTGACATCAAGAAAAGCTACTGGGAATGCTCCGCAGTAGGGTTGACATTAGCAAAGCGCCCGTGTCATTATCATCATCATCATCATCATCATCATCGTCATCGTCATCATCGTCATCATCGTCATCATCGTCATCATCGTCATCATCGTCATCATCGTCATCATCGTCATCATCGTCATCATCGGCATCATCGGCATGATCGGCATGATCGGCATGATCGGCATGATCGGCATCGGCATCGGCATTGGCATCATCATCATCATCATCGTCGTCGTCATCGTCGTCATCATCATCATCATCCTCATCCTCATCCTCATCCTCCTCCTCGTCATCATCGACATCGTCATTGTCATCGTCCTTGTCATCGTCATCGTGATCGTCATGGTCATCGTCATCATCACCATCACTATCACCACTTCTCCTATTGATAATATTTGTGGATTACTATTACCAGTATACAAATCATACTATTAACAGTAGCAGCATTATCATCCTCATCCACATTGCAATATGGAGCTGCACGCACCATTGCCAGGCGGCTCGACAAGCATTGCTTGGGGTCCTAGGCCAGGTGGGCCACTTGGCGACTGGGCGTCACCAAAAACGGTATACCCCAAAAGGGGGTAGCCTATTATGACATGCATGTGTATATGAGTATATATGCATATGATATAATATCCGAATAAATACTAGATATGCATACATATCTATATATACGCAAAGATACGAAGTTATATATATATACACATAAATATATATATATATATATATATTCACATATATATATATATATTCACATATATGCATATTGTGACGTTTGTTCTTGGTGGTTTGAATTGTGCGAAACAAATGGGAGTGAGTCAATGTTGATCGTCATCATCATCTCATCTATAGGAATATAAAATGAAAATATTCGAAACAATCATCCGCATCTGCCCAACATCTGTACCCATCTGCTTTTGCCACTTCCAAGGCACATCCAGGCGGTTGCAGCCCTCTGGCTTCTCGGTCAAGCATTCTGTATCCAGCTCGTGGTCTGGGGTGTGCCAGCACCTGTGATGATCACCGCTGGTACCGCTGGGATATTTCCACGGGGATCCCTTTTGAAACACAGGTACTGTACTCTGAGAGCCCTGGGAAAACCCAAGGGATTGCCATCTAAAACCACGCTGGGTATCAACACAGCTTTGTGACATGGACACCTAGGAATTCACCGTCGAAACTTGGAAACCCTCTGTTCCAATCCAACCAAAGCCTTGCAAATTCTGATTCCTGCATTGGAAATAAATCATTTTGGGTCCCCGATATCCCCCCAATCCTCATCATTACTGGGTTTTTGGTCGGTCGGAGCTCATTTCTGCCCACCAAAAATAACAGGTTGATTAAAACATCTACTAAAATCCCAGTTTGGGGGATGAAACCAATTATATTTTTTCTTGTTGGTTTGAGCCCTTTTTTCCCAATGTCTTTACACTTTCTGATCTCCCCCCAGCAGCGACGGGTTGAGTGGCGCACTGTGCAACCTTGTGATTGCCTTCGGCCAAAAAGTCGTCAAAGGCGTGGCCTTATGGTGCTGATGATGGGGCCACAAGCGAGAAGATCAGTGGAAGATTAGTTGGGATGCAAAGCATATATGTATATATATATATGTGGAAAACCCCCTCTATATAATATATGTATACATTTCGATTATACATATGTGTATACATGTATATATGTTATACATGCATGTATATATATATATACATATTAAACATGTATGTATGTATGTATGTCTGTCTGTCTGTCTGTCTGTCTGTCTGTCTGTCTGTCTGTCTGTCTGTCTGTCTGTCTGTATGTCTGTGTGTCTGTATGTATGTATGTATGTATGTACGTACGTATGTACGTATGTACGTACGTATGTACGTATGTACGTATGTACGTATGCACGGATGTACGTATGCACGGATGTACGTATGTACGTATGTACGTATGTACGTATGTACGTATGTATTTATGTAATGTAATGTTATGTAATATTATGTTCTGTTAAGTTATGTTATGTTATGTAATGTTATGTAATGTTATGTAATGTTATGCATGTATGTGTGTATGTGTGTATGTATGTATGTATGTATGTATGTATGTATGTACGTATGTATGCATGTGTGCGTGTATTATACATATGTATATTTTACATGTGTATATAATATATATATATATATTATTATACATGTATATAATATATATTATATTATACATGTATGTAATATATATTATATGTATATATATATACGTGTGTGTAATGTAATGTAATGTAATATGTAATATGTAATATGTAATATGTAATATGTAATATGTAATATGTAATATGTAATACGTAATACGTGATATGTAATGTAATGTAATGTAAAGGCAAGGTGTTATGTGTCATATGTCATGTGTCATGTGTCATGCGTCATAGAATTTGATGTATGTATGCTTGTTTGTGTCTGTCTGGCTAGCTGTCTGTGTGTCTAGCTGTCTGTCTATCCGCTTGTCCGTCCGTTCGTTCGTCTGTTTGTTTGTTTGTTTGTGCTTACGTTTGTGTGCGTATAAGCCGAGCAGCATTCACTACCCAAGAAACAAGTTGGCAAATGGATAGTCAGCAAAGTGACCCTCAAGATGTGACAACAAATGTGGACAAAGTTTCCCCATTAGCCCATTAGACTTCACGTCTCGCCTTCCCCTCGATGAAGAAAGTCGAATGCTTCACCTCAAGCAGTTGAAACCACCCAACTAAATCCAGGAAGTCACCAAAATGTCAATGCATCTAGAGATCGACATCACCCTTGGCTTCTGAGAAGTATCTATCCAAGCAAATTACATCCAAAAATATGAAGGGTGAAACAAAAAATACAACCTGCCCCTGATCAAACACATCCAAGATATGAACAAAAAGTAATGAGATCGCTTCATCCCTACCAAAACTGCAGTGGAACGCCAAAGGCCTGTTTGTTTTTTGTTGGAGCTGCCCAAACAGCAACTGCTGATCTTGGAGTGGAAATGTAGCAAAAAAACATGATCTTCTCCCTGAAAAATGGATGGTTTAAAATAGTTCAATACTACAAGTGGCCCATGTTGTTGGCGATTAACCACTACCCCCATTGCATTTTTCAGCCAACAACGGATCACTACCACACGAACCGATCCATCTCCGAAGAAAAATCAGGGCCAAGCCACACAAGGCGTCGCTGCCACCTAGGCGCTTTCCATCCCAACATATGGCCAAAAAGGATAGAAAAGTAAGATCTTGTTGAAAATGGTGATAAATCACTTGTCTATCTGTCTATCCTTTTTGGGGGTGAGCATATGATTCTTTAATGATTTTTAATGGCTAAACCCAAATTATGGCGAAATCATTGATGGGGAAGATGAGCGCTTTTTAATCTTCAATCATTGATGAGAGCTGCTAAGGCTGTGCCATATCACAAACCACATAAATGCTTGTGGCATCCACTGCTCTACATTTACCCCCGGAGGCTATACATCATGAACCTGGAAGCAATGATTAATAACTGGGAAGCAGGCAATCATACAGCCACAGAGTATTCACATATGTAATGATATTGATATAACTTGGCAGTCGTCATATCCTGATTTAAAAGGTTTGCAGGCCACCTACTAACCATGTACAAACTTCCAGGATACTGCAGCCAAGGCACTTGTGCATGGCTCACCTCCACACCACACGCACGCCTGAGTGAAAAACACAATGGCACCAGTGAGCCCTCCAAAAAAATGTCAATCGCGATGTGAAACATTAAGTTAAACATCATGTTTACAAATACCTCTCTGCTGCATATATAATATCAAATATATATATATACATATACATATACCTGTATATTAAATATGCGTATAAATATAAACAAAAAATAAATATTATAATATATATATATATATTGAATATATTATATAAATATACACCGCCCATTTTGGAGGGTTGATCAATATTGACACTTGTTTGATTGGTGGCACGTATAAACCTGTACCCAGTTCAGGAACTCACCTGTTCGGCGCCGTCAAGGCCGGGGCACATCTCCGCCCTTGTGAAGGCTGTCCTTCATCAACCCCAGCTCTGAATCCTGGACCGGGGCCCGACGGCGATTTCAGAAAAGGACTGGTCGTTATTCAGTGGTTCATCCATTTCTAGGACCCTCTGGTTATGTCAAAATAGCTATTGAACATGGCCCATAGAAATAGTTGATTTACCTATTAAAGATGGTGATTTTCCATAGTTATGTTCGGTACAGTGTTGAGAAAATGGTTGGTTATGTCTCCGACGCATGAAATCCCAATTCTTCATGGTTCAAGGACTAACTTGACGCCAGGCTCCCCAGGCTCGGCTCGGCACCTTGCTGCTCAAGCAGATCAGCTTGTCTTTGACGTCACTGCACTTCATCGTTTCTAAGCAGCTGGTATCGCCCCGGGAGGCTGGAAACCTCAGCGATGCTACGTTGGTGAACCCACGAGACCATCCCCACCCAAAATGGCTGGTACATATAATTAAACTCTACAATAACCATCCCAGAATGGTTTTACCACCGTAGCAGTCTACCAAGGAATGGATTTCAGCCATCAACCTCCATTGCCTTGGTATTCCTAGTTGTTTGGGATTGGAAACGAGCCATTAGCCACTTTGGTTGATTCCATAGCCCCATCCTTGGAATCCTGAGCTGTTAATATGCCCATTCTTCACGCCATTCGTACATCATCAACCGAGCCATGATTCATTGAAAGCACACCAATGCTTGGGAAGTGTTTTTCTGCCCAATAGGCAGATAAGACCCCATTCATCAACCCAAAAATCGCCCATGTCTGAAACCACCAACAAAGTTATACCCCAAGCGTTTCTCAACGTTGTTGGGTAAAGCCCCTGTTTTTTTTCCGGCCATGTGGAGCCAAGGGATAAATCCAGATGAGTTTGGTAATGTTGACGAATAACTTACAGGACAGATACTGCAATCTTTCAAATGGATCCAAATGATGGAATTGAATGTGTGCACGATGGCTATACACCAACAACAATCAATATCTTGAACCACCAGCCCGGTTCTACGGAAGTGTTCTGTTCTTTTACCCCAGCCAGCTGCAGGTTGGAACCAGAACAAAAATACCAAGTCTTGCTGAAAGATCCATATCCATTGGATATATTGGGCCACCCCATTTCACCATTGGTTACACCACTTTTGCCAAATCACCAGCTTAACTTGGATGACAATTTGGGGCTCGCATTTCAAGAAAACTCCGGATGTCGGTTGAATCCCATCATATCCCACCCATTCTATCCTACATCCCATAGAATAGTTGGTTGATACTAACATTATCCTCATTGATGTTGGTTACACCCATGTCTTAGTTGATATTCCATCATATCCTATTGAAAATGGCAGGTATTTGAAGTATTGACCATCCAAGGTTGACCTAAACACTCCAAAATCATGGTCATATGATTGGTTTACATCCCATTCTATCCACAGATACTGGCAATACTGGGCAATAAAGCGATGAGCCGAGCCGCCAATCATGGTGTGTGTGAGCCTTCTTCCCTGCCTTCGATGGCAGCACTGGAAGCCCAAGGGCCTTGCCATCGCTGCACCCGGCGCGGTCAAAGGGCACGTTGCGCGCGCGCTCGTAGACGTGGCCCTCACCGTTCACGGCGAAGTCGTAGGGCTCACCTTATGGCGGAGATGTGATTTCACCGAAAATGGCAAGTCAAACAGCGAGATGGGGAAACTAGATGAAATTGGGAGGTTTACCCAGGAAAAATCGGCAGGCAAAAACAAGCGGGATATGATCAACAAACATGGTGATTTGACCTGCCAAAATTTGGATTTAACCGGCACTCACGGGAAGGTCATTGACTATGATCATGATTCAAACTGCAACCGCTGCAAAAAAAAATCAAGGATTTTGGCACTCATTCATTTTTTCCTGATGAGTTAAATATCGCGGGCGTATGAGCAACAACAAAGGGGACACATATAATAAATACAGGAACAAAAAGAGAGGATTCAACCAATGAATTAGGCTTACATGTATAACTTATGTATAACCAAGAACCTGCGAAAACAGGCGCTTTCCTGACACAAATGGGGCCCGAAAAAATAAGGAAAAAGGACCAGATATTTGACGAGCAGTCATGCGGATTCAACAACCAGCGACTGTGGGGATCTTACTGGCAACAAAGGGCGTTAAATTTGAACAAACAATGGGCATACAATGGGCAATCAAGGTTTGCCGGAGGATGCGATGGATAAATGAATACGCACGTGGATTAAAGACGTTCGCGTGCACCTGAAAATTCAAATAATGTGGAATCATTTAGGGGCCCAGGGTTGCTCATCAGAAAGACTCGTCACATCATGGCTGAAATTCAAAAAACTGTTCTTTCATGTTCTTTCAATCAAAGTAATTGAATTCCATTCAAAAAATCGGTTTCCATACCGAAACATTCAAAAACTGTCCTTTTTATTCCTTTCCATTGCAGTTCATTGCAGTCGTACAACTATCCATACCAGTAGTACCGCACAAGGCGGTGGCGGAAGTTTCAAAAATAGGAAACCTATAGGAAGGGTTGGTTGCTGTGACTCACGGATGGCAGAGCGAACCCACTGATGGACCGAAAGGTGGTTGGAGTTGTGTTTTCTGGAGTGGTTGCAATGGTTGCAGTGGTCACCTCACCGCAACTGCTGGATGTAATGTGGTGTAGTGCTGTAGTTGCAGTTGTAGTTGCGGGCGTACTTTTAGTTGTAGTGTAGTGGAGTTGTAGTTGTAAAATGTAGTTGTAATGTAGTGTAATTAGCGTAGTGCAGTTGCAGTTGTAGTTGTGGTGTGGTGTAGTTAGTCTAGTGTATTGTAGTGTACTGTAGTGTTGTGTATTGTAGCGTGGTATAACGTAGTGTAGTCTAGCATATTGTAGTGCAAAGTAGCGTAGTTTTAGTTGTAGTGTAGTGTCGCGTCGTGCAATGTAGTGGTAGTTGCAGTTGTAGCGTAATGTAATGCAATTAGTGTAGTGTAGCGTTGTGGACTGTAGCATAGTTGTAGCGTTGTGGAATGTAGCATAGTTGTAGTTGCATTTGTATTTGTAGCTGTAATGTACTGCAGTTTAACTGGCGTATTGTAGCGTAATGTAGTGCAGCTGTAATTGTAGTTGTAGCTGTGGTGGTGGTGGTGGTGGTGGTGGTGGTGGTGGTGGTGGTGGTGCGAATGTCATACATCTCTTTCGATGCGTATTCATTGTTTGGTCGCTGGCGGACTCTCAGCCAATCACTAATCACTTGCTACAAGCTACAAGCAAATGTTGCTCCAACAAAACATCGAAACAAACTTGCTTTTAGCAAAGTCTTCAAGTCTATTTGACTTCACGTGATACTATATCAAATCATACCCACGTGCGTGAGCAAAGCGACAGCCATCTAAGTATGACACTTGGATCTAGAGATTTGCTTGTTTTCAGCGTGCCATCAATCCCTTTGAGCGCTCCTCCGAACACCTCAAAACTCTTTACAACCTCCTCCAAGACAGTAAGCTGAACTTGCTTGATGATGCTGTAAACTCATCCTATGCCATTCAGCTTGCATTGCCAGCTTGGAATAATTTTCTCCGAATTTTTCAAGTGATTTCAGAGATTTGTGAAAGTGTCTTTTGCTGCATAGCATGTGACACGTTTTGTGCGATTTGAGCAAGTCGTATGCAGTTTAGAGCTTGATTTCCAACTTTCCTGACAGCGCGTTCAGATTTCGAACGCGGAACAGTGATTTCAATCTTTGACAGAGCATTGAGATTTCGAACGCGGAATTCACACAGTGATTTCAATTTTGGAGAAACATTTAGACGTGCGAAAGAGGAATTTATAATCAGCTGCGGTACAGCTTATGAGTTTGAAGCTTCTCAGAAATCGTTTTGCGACGTTTCCACGGTTGAGACTTTTTTGAACATCCTGATGATCTCCTATTGTCTTGCGTTTCCTGGGTCCAAGCAATCTGTGAGATCGAAGTTTTTGAACCGCTTTTGATCACATTTCCAATTTGAGAGCCGTGCAAATTTGCAAGAGTTTTTTTTCCGAACTAGAGTAAGCAGACATGACGTCTGAACCGAATGTGAGTTTGGAAACAATTAGAGAATTTGACCGCAACCAAGCTTTCAGCTCTCCCTGTTGCCACAGCATTGTGAACATGCTCAGCCGCATCGTGCTTCCTTTGATCAATGAGATCAGCATTCCGCCAACAACATGTTGGCTCAAGATTAGGAGGCGTAAATTCTGCTAGCACAGTGAGACAAAAAGGGCGTGAGTTGTCAAGCAGAGTTGTCCACATTCTCAGTTGCAATTATCTACTCTTCTGGGGTGATAATTCTCGCATGGTAGCGAGAGCCAGTGTTCTCCTAGGAACCCCCTTGAATTGGTCTTCTCCTAGGTTTTCCCAGGGTTCAGGATTGACAGCAGACAACTGATCTTGACAAGAGATCTTGGAACCTACATCTAGCAGAATCTGATTTGCAGCCATGGAGCAGCCGGCCAGAGACAGGTCACCGAGAGGCCGTTCTCAAACGAGAAGAGGAGTTTCTTTGCCTGCAACAACCGGATATGCCCCTGGAAGTGCAAACGCCTCCGTCCCCTTTGTCTTCGAGGAGCAACTCAATCGAGTCCGAATGAGCATGGACACTTTACAAGCGGAAGTTGGCAAGGCAGTTCGAGAACTTGCAGGTCACCAGAAAACTCTTGTTGACACCCTTGAGCGTCAGCAGCATGAGCTGAATGATATACGAGCCCAAAGAGTGCCAATCCCTCCAAGTGCTTCTCAGTCAGTGGCGGCTGCCAATGAGGATCGCTTCGGTGCCATGGGAGAAGCCAGTCCTTTTACTTCTGGACAAGACCCGCCCATCCAATTGCCAGTGAATGCTCAGCAAGGTGCAGGTGGACTTGCATCGGCGATGCCAAATACTGCAGTGAATGCGAGCTCAAGCACTGGACATGGGGTAAAAATTGTCTTACCCGATGGTACGGAGATCCCCTTGGGCGGCCAGTCAAATGCCGCGGGTCCTAAAGTTCCTGGATCCACACAGCTAGATGCGCTGCAGAGAAGCGACAAGTGGCTGCCTAGCATGCCCGTGGTCGAGTCGAATCGGTGGAAAAGCCGAATGGAGGAGATTTTGGGCATGGAACAGTGGCTCGATTCATTTTGCAATTGGCTATCTTTGATTTCAGAGCCATTTTGCACAGAAGTGAAGTTTTCTGCGACTTCTCCGCTGCCAATTGACAAGAAAGATTTGTCAACTGACCAGATTTCCCGAAGCTCCAGGCTCATGGCAATGCTTCGCCAGACCTTCCAGATGACTCCGCGAGCCAAAATCATTCTGCTTGCTTATGTAGAAGGCCCTGGAGATAAGAACGGGTATGAGGCTTTGCGAAGGATTGTCCAAGAATACATGATCAAGACTCGTGCTGAGTTGATGCATTTCCGCACATCTTTGCTTGGCCGAACTTTCAAAGCTCAAACAGTGACAGAGGTAATCAAGCAAATTGAGTTCGAGGAGAGCCGGTACAACAAGCTTGCTCGGATGTTGCCCTCGAATGTACCAGCTTCCGATTTGGCCCTGCTCCCTAGTGATTTGGTGATGGTCCTCATCAAATCCTTGCCTGTTGGTGTGAGGGAATATGTTGTCATGCATAGCCCAAGCCATGACTATGTGCAAATGAAAAATGCCGCTTTGTTGTACGAAGCCAACCAGAGAACTTGGACAGAGATTGCAGGCAGCAGTTCTGCCACCTACATGCATGGAATGTTTGACACGAATGACAAGCCGAAAGGAAAGGGCAAAAGCAAAGATGGTAAGAAAGGAAAGGGGAAAGCAAAAGATTCAAATAAAGGTGCAGCTAAGGGCAATGGTGAAAAGTCAGAGAAGGAAAGGAATGCCACGTGTTTCCGATGTGGTCGCACAGGCCATTTCTCTTCAAATTGTCATGCCAAGAAAGACAAGGATGGCAAGCCGCTTGAAGGGAAGCCCGCTCCAAAGAAAGATGGAAAGGGATCTGGTGAAGAGAAAGGTTCCAGCACAGGTCCTCAGAACAAAGGAAAAGGCAAAGGATCCAAAGGTAAGAAAGTCAATGAAATGCTTGAGCAGCCTGAAGGCGAATCGTGGCCTACCAATGGTCCAGCTGAAAGTCAGGGTTCCAACGGAGATGGCAGCCGTGCGTCAGCTGCGAAGCAAGCAGCAGCCCCTTTGAATCCCATTTTGCCTACTCAGTCTTGGTTTGAAGACACGATCGTGCAGTTTGAGCGAGAGCAGATCACAGAAGAGCAGTTCGATTTGGTCCACGGATCATTTCTCATGGAGGAACAATTTTCTTCTGATTTTGATTTTTCATGTTTTGGAAACCCATCAGATTTGTGGAGTAAAACCAAGCATGTTTGTACCATGTCAGCTGCAGTTTTCATGCCAATGATGCCAGATGTCCCATCAGATTTGCACTGGTGGCTCATTGATTCAGGAGCATCAGCCTCTGTTGTGAGTTCTCGCTTCCTGAAACACTATGAAGTAGTAAAGAATCAAGTGCTGGGACCAGCAACCGGCCCTGGGTTTTCATCGGCAAGCGGTGAGACAATTCATCCAACTTCCCTTGTTTGCTTGAAAGCATTTTTCCGCTTGACGTCCAGAGAAGATCCTTCAGACACCATGTTGAAAGAGTGCTTAGTTTCAGCTTTTGTAGCAGATGTTCCCAATAATGTTTTGTCAGTGGGCAGCTTGCTGCGAAAGGGTTGGTCATTAAGCAGTTCCGGAAGTGAATTGGAAGTGTGCTTTGGAGGATACAATTTGGACTTGGTGACATGGCAGAATGTGCCATGGATTTTTCACGAAGTTGAGACGGTCAT